TTGGGTCCGTGCGCTTGCGCAGCAAGGACTGTAACTCTTGAGTTATTCTACCTATCAAATGAGAAAATAATGCCAATCTCTCAAATTTCATGTGAGGCAGGTGCAGTGCCACTGCTCTAAATCCCTAGCCCCCCTTTCCTTTCTTTTTTTTTTTTGGTACCAGGGATCGAACTTGGGTCCGTGCGCTTGCAAGGCAAGCGGCGGAACCACTGAGCTAAATCCCTGGCCCTATTTCTTCTTAAAACAGAAGCTCACTATCTTGTCCAGAGTAGTCTCAAACTCACGATCCTCCTGCCTCTTCCTCCCAAATAGCTGGGATTATGGGAGTGTACCACTGTGCCCGGCAGTAAAAAATCGAGATCGAAAACCTGTCAACTTCTAGGCTCTTTCGAGAGTTGTTCTAAAGTTACTAGTAAGGATGGGTCCTTATGCCTCGAGCGCTCTCAGTCGTTGGGGTGCAGAGGTGAAGGGACTCGGGATCATTCTAGCAGCAGCTTCATCTTAGCTGTCCGTTGGGAGCCAAGGTGGCCGCTCTGAATGTGCGCTGGGGCAGCCCGACCCTGGGGTCCAGCCTCTATCGCTATCTCGACTACAAGGGTCCTCCGTCTTCTAGCGGATCCATGTTGCTCATTCTGCCCCCAAATTTCCCCCAACCGCCCAGCCAGCCACGTCCACTGAAGTCCAACTCAGGCGGGCCGCGGAAGCCGGTTGTCGCCTCCCCCCGCGAGCAGCGGGATCCAGCAGCGGTCCCTGCTCAGGGCTGCACACTTCTGACGGACGCTGCCTCCCACCGAGGCTAGGGAAACTAGCTAGACTGAACGGCAAAACAGAACGAAGCCAGTCCCAGGCGGCAAGCAACACGCAGGAGCACGAAAGACCTACCTCAGCCACAGAAAGCAAAGCAACCAGAAGAGCACCACGCACGCTCACGCTGCAGTTTTTCCCCACCTCCCGGCCCACCTCCGCCGCTATCAACGCCCCTTACGTCATCGCGCACAGCGCGACCTTCTTCCCGTCAGGCTGTCTCCCCCACTGGAACAACCCTGTACCCAAGTCTATCGAGAGCCCCCCGCCCCTTCGGTGAAGCCCCGCCCCACCCCCCACCCCCCGTTAGGCGGTACGCACATGCGCGAAAGTACGTCCCCGCCCCCTCTTCAGTGCAGACCCTCTCGGTACCCTGTCTGTCACCTCACAGTAGTAGTTGCCGGTAGCGAGTGCGGGGGTGTGAGCAGCGCAGGGCCGCCTGTCCCCCGCCCCTCAGGCCGGGTCTGGGCTCGGTCCCCCCGCTCCCACCTCTCCCCACCCCGTGGGATACAGGAAGGTTCCAGCCGCTGCCAGGTGCCCGAGGGCCATCGTGGCCGCCGCCACGGGTCCCCATGGAGCCGCCGCATCTGTACCCCGTGAAGCTCTACGTATACGACCTATCCAAGGGCCTGGCCCGGCGGCTTAGCCCCATCATGCTGGGTGAGGGAACGGGGCAGAGGGCAGATGGAGAGAAAGTCAGGACCGAGGGGGAAAAGGGTGCGGGCAGGCCGAGGGAGGAGAAGCAGGAGCCGAGGGAGGAGAAGCAGGAGCCGGGGATGGAGGGAAAGGCCGAGTGGAGAAGGGGAGTGTCCGGGGCTTGGGCTCCCAGATCCTTGCTTTCCCATCTTCAGGTTTTCATCCGGGCAGAAGGGATGGCGGAGTCACGTCCTCCCTTGCTGAGGGCTCGGGCTGGGACCATGCCCTCCGGACCCCCTTGAGCTAAGGCTGTGGGGTCCCGGTTGCTCCCGGCCTCGCCTTGGGCTCCTCCACCCTTCTCCCTCGCCGCGGTGCCGGGAGTTGAGGATGCCTCCCGCGGTGTCCCTCGTGGTGAAAGGGACACTGCGGAGGATATTCTTGTGTGTCCCTCAAAGAGAACTTCCCTCCGCAACAAAGAGGAACTTCCTCTGTAGTCCCCGAGGTAGGTGGGTTGGGAGCTGGAACTGCAGATGGGGCCCAGCCATCGCCCGCACCCTCAGGTAGAGGTCAGGTCGGGTCAGCAGGAGCCCGAGCTTCGGAATTCGCCAAGTTTGGCCTAAACAAGGTTGTCTTCTCTCAACAGTTTTTAAGTTAATTGTTTTAGCCCAGATGTTAAGAAAGGAATTCTGGGCGAGGGTTGGATGCTGTTATATCAGTAAAGACTAGTAAAGAAAGTATTTTGCTTGTACTCCTTTAAACTACTACAATGCTGGGAGAGAAGATCAGCCTTTGTTCATTGCAGATCAAACCTCCTTTCAACCCAAATACCAGGATGCCTTGTGTCACGTAGGAATTGTCAACTTTGTAATTTCAGGTAGTAATTGGCAAGAGAGAATTCTAGGAATTGAACATTGAATAGCTGGGGCCGGGGATTTAGCTCAGTGGTTTCGCCGCCTGCTTTGCAAGTGCAAGGACCCGAGTTCTATCCCTGGTACCAAAAAAAAAAAAAAGAAAAGAAAATTGAATAGCTTTGGCAACATCTATTTGAATGGCTGGTGTTTTTTGGCTTCTGTGGAGACATTGGGGAATGAGTTAGTTGCTTGGTGGTAGACGAGGGGGTCAGAGGTCAAGGAACTAAGGATACTTTTTTTTTTAATTATTGGAATTTAACCCAGAGCCCTGTGCGTGTTAGGCGAGCTCTGTACCACTGAGTTACAGTCCCCAGCCCTTTTTATTTTTTGAGACAGGGTCTTGCAAAGTTGTCCAGACTACCTCCAATTTGAGATCCTCCTGTCTCAGCCTCCCAGGGCTCTGGGATTACAGGCCTGCATCACCACACCCTGCAGAAGGTTATTTTGGAGGGTATCTTTTCAGTGTCTCTGGGTTTCTAATGTGTCATAGTGAGTTGAACTTAGTCCCTCTGCCCTGGGCTAGTGAGTGGTTTCTGTATTTGGTTTCACATCAGAATAACTAGGGTGCCTGAAAATATACAGACACTGGGTAGAGATTTAGCTCAGTGGTAGAGCTCTTGCCTAACATTCGAAAGGTTCTGAATTTGGTCCCCAGTGCCACCAAAACCACTTTATTTCTAATATATATTATTAGATGAGATTAGGAAAAGGGTTAAATAGTTGTTTAATATGTGAGTGCATTTAAATGAAGGATACATATGTGCTGATTTAGGCAAATGGTTCTCTGGGAGGAAACGCAAGAAATTGCTAAACGAGGTAGCTTATGGAAAGGGAGCCTGGTGATGGGACAGGAGTGTAAAGAAAACTTGCTGTGAACTTTTCCTTATTGTTCCACATATCATGTATTCAAAATAAAGAAAATTTTAAATATATGAACTCTATAGACATAACTTCACAAGTCTTAAATCATAATCTCCTAGATTTTTGATCCATATATCTGCACTTTAATAAGCTGCTCAGGTAATTCTTATGCAGCTAACCCATTATTGGACAGAAGTTTGGGTCTATCTTTCCAGTTGTTAAAATGAGTAAGGTGTGGGCCAGGGATTTAGCTCAGCAGTCCCAGCGCCTGCTGAGCCAGCACAAGGTCTGGAGTTCATCCCTGGTACCAAAAACAAAAACAAAAAATGAATAAGGCAGGGCTGGGGTTATCACTCCATGACAGAGCATTTCCCCAGCCTGTATAAGGCCTAGAGTTCATTCCCCAGCAGCACACACACACACATAAGGTAGGGCAAATGTGAAAGCAAAATTTACAAAGTCATTGTTTGAGGAAGTACTAGTCATTAATAGATTACATCAGTCAAGTTCTAACCTAATTTGGAGCTGGGTGTGGTGACCTATGCTTGTAATCCCAGCATTTGAGAGGCTGAGTCAGGAGGATTGCTGCACTTCGAGGCCAGCCTGGGCTACATAGCAAGACCCTGTCTCAAAAAAACCTTTGGTCTCTAAACTTAGAATGGAGCCATTGGTTTGAAGTAAAAGACCCCCTCTTGCCAGGCTTGATGGTGCACACCTGTAATTCCAGCACTCGAGAGGCTGAGGTAGGAGGATTGCCACGAGTTTGAGGCCAGCCTCGGCTATGAAGTGAATTCAAGGCCAGCATACACTACATAACAAGACCCTTCTCAAAAAAAAAAACAAAAAAACCCCTCTCTTTATACTGAGCATTTTTTGTTCTGTTATCTAATAATTACTGATTTTCACTGAAAGGCCTCGGGGTAATGCTTTTCATTCAACAGATACTGATGTGCCTACTATGTGCTAGTCAATGTGTGGGAGACATTAAAGATAAAAACATACTCAACAGGGCCAGGGATTTAGCTCAGTTGTTTCGCCACCTGCCCCGAAAGCACAAGGACCCGAGTTCAATCTCCGGTACCAAAAAAAAAAAAAAAAAAAATACTCAATTTAAGTACAGATCTGTGTGATCTGGGCTGTTCAAGAAGCAAACTGGTGCTGAGACACAAAATAACAAGGGAGACCTACTTTAAATAAGAGTATGGGGGTAGTGACTTTCAAACTGACCTTTAGGATGAGGAAGAAGCAACTGGAGGCTGATGGGGAAGTTACATTGTTCCAGGTAGAAGAGGGCTCAACCTGCCAGGGCCTGGAGGCAGAAAAGAGCCTGGCCTGGTGTGGGAACTGAAAGCAGGCCTTATAGATATAGTGGGTGAAGGTAGGAGCATTGTTTAAATGAGGGTGAAGTAGCAGACCTGCCCCCTTGCCACCCCCTTTAAATAGATGTGAAATCCTAGAAGGCTTCAGCCTGACAAGGGAGCTTCACTAGTTTGTCACATCAGATTTCAGTGCTATATCTAAGAGCATCACTTTGCTTACAAATCTAATCCTCTCTTTTTCCCATATTGCTTTAATGACTTTTATAAAGGTAATGAAGAAAGGATTCACAAAGCTAATGGTCATTACTATCTAGAGTTGAAGGCTTATGGAAAATAGGTATTGCCTTGCTGGTTCATCCCACTCATACCATCAGCCTTAAATAAGATCAGGTATATCCCAGTTCTGTGAGTTTCATTACAGAAACTGTTAGATAAGGATATCTAGGATAGATATTATTACATAGGATAGATAAGTAGGTAGGTAGATAGATATTCCTAGGCAAACTGTAGGGTTTTTTGTTTTGTTTTGTTTTTTAGTACTGGGGATGGAACTCGGGTCCTTGTGCTTGTGCAGCAGGCGGCAAAACCACTGAGCTAAATCCCCGGCCCAGTATTTTTATTTTTTATTGAGACAAGGTCTCACTGTGTAACCCAGGCTGGCCTTCAGCTCTCAGCAATCCTCCTGCTAGGATTACAGACATGCACCACCACATCCAACTGGGCAAAATGCAATTTAATGAATATTTGAGATTTTATTCTATGCTCAGTTTCTTGCTTAATTCTGTAGTACACATAATAATAATAGCATTTCTGTTCTCTAGAAGTTAATTTCTCCCAAAATAAAGGTTATTCATGTAAAAAATTAGATTGATTAACAGTTTACAGAGGTTATGATCCAATGGCAAAATGAAAAATGGTGAACCAGGATGGTGGTGCATGCCTATAATTCTAACACTCTGGGAGCTAAGGCAGGAGGATCACAAGTTTGAGCCCAGCCTGGACAATTTAACAACATCCTCGGCCAGGGATTTAGCTCAGTGGTTTCGCCACCTGCTGCACAAGCACAAGGACCCGAGTTGGATCCCCGGTACCAAAACAAAACAAAACAAACAACATCCTGTCTCAAAAAAAAAAAAAAAAAAATGTGGTGCAGTAGTTATTTCAGTTGTTTCAGCAAAAGGCTGGCACTCCTGGAGGGTAAGGACTCTGTCTCATTTTTCTGTGCATCTCCAGTGACCAGAAGCGGTGCCCAATGAGTTAGTTTTGGTTAGTTTTGTGGTGCAGAGGATCAAACCCAGGGCCTTACTGAGCTACACCCTCAGCCATAGGAAGTATTGATTATAGAAATGATTAAGGTTTGAACTCAAGCTTGCAGATCATGTAAAATTTATTTGGATCTGGCCAGGGATTTAGCTCAGTGGTTCTGCCACCTGCCTCACAAGCGCAAGGACCGGAGTTCAATCCCTGGCACCAAAAAATTTTTTTTAATTTTTAAAAATTTATTTGGATCTGAGGGAGTTTTTTGTTTTTTTATTAATTTATTTTATTTTATCCCATTCTCCCCTGAAGCGCCCTCACCTTCCTGTGTACAAAAGCTTTGTTTCCATTTTTTCCTTCTCTTTTCACTTTTTTTCTTGTCCCTTCCTTTCTTTCTTCCTCCTCTGAGGGTTTTTTTTTTTAAACGTGTTAATGCCATCTATTGTGCTTTGTTTTTGATTTTCATTGTTCATTGTCCAAACTATTTGATATCCACCAAATGAATGAACGTAGTAATTCTGCAATGTCTTATGAATGCAGCTTACAGAACCCCATGCGCTCCTGCTCCTGCTTATTCTCTGCACCCACACCTGAGGCTTGCACCTCGTTCTTAACACACTCACCACCAACCTTTCTCCACCAGGTTCTGTGAAGGAATCCAGCCCTAGAAAAACTGATTTGGTTGACTGTTTTCTCAGTTCTCCAAGTAGATATCTCAGAATGTTAGTGTTTAACTCTTGCAGAACCACATTGGAATAGGGCTGGGGACCCCTGAACAAGACAGAATGCCTTCAGGTCTCTTTTTCAGGTGGGCTTTTCACAGGCTATGCCCCCTGCCAGGGTATTTTCCCCATGTCCTCATCCTGAGATCTCAGTCAGCTATGATGTCACTTGCTCCAGGAGCCTTTCCCTGACCCCCACCTCCCCAATCTTTCTCTTGTAACCCTATTGTGTGCTGATAACAGCCTGTATGCTCCTTAATACCATTCATCATCCTGTTTTCCCCTACTCTGCCCCTCGCTGGTCTGCAAGCTCCATGGGGGCCTGAACTGTCTCTTGTATCCCCAGAGTCTAGCACAGTCAAACATCCAGTGAACACACTGGTGAATGGTGGGTCATTGTTATCCCTAAAGCGTTGCTGTAAGGCCTGGCTGATAACAGGCAAATAATTAAGTGGGGATCCTCTCAGTACTGAGGAAAAGAACTCAAGTTACATTTACACTAGGCATGAACCCTGTGCTGACTCCAGGGAATCCCAGCACCAGAGCATTAAGTTGTGCTAAATTCCCTTGCTAGACTCAAACTTGTAATCTTCCTTCCTCAGCCTCCCAGAGTTCTGGAATTACAGCTGTAAACCATCACACCCTGTTCTGTCAGTTTTTTGTTGTTATTTGGTACTGGGGTTCAAACCCAGGACCCTGTACTTTCGAGGCAGGTGTGGTGCCACTGAGTTAAATCCCCGGCCCTCTCCAGTCAGTTTTTAAGAATTATTGCATGATGATTTCTAGATAACCTTTCTCTGCCCAAAGGAGGGGCAAATTCTCCTGATGCTAGGATATTTTTTATACTATTGGCTGCAGAGGGCTAGTTATGTTAGTGTTTCCTTTTACCTATATTCCCACCTATATTCAAGGTTAATCCAGTGAGATAAAGAATAGCTGATTTTTTAGGTTAACACTAAGCCTCTCCTATTGCTGGTAAACTGCCTTTTTGAAACACTTTTATTGTAGGAAGAGAACTCTACGAGGCGAGCTGGGCCTACTATTTCCTTTCCCTACCATCTGAGACAAAAGGCTACTCGCTCAGAGGCCCCTACCCCTGGAGTCTCATCACTGTCACCACTTTCCACTTATTAATAGACATTTATTTAGCAGCAGCAGCAGCCTACCAGGTGCTGATCTATAAGCAGCATGTGTGTCTTTATGCACAAGCTCCATCTGCCTCAATCGAGGAGGAGGTGGGTGGGGTGTTCTCTCCTTGGTTTTCATATACAGTACTCGCTTCGCTGTTGTACTCAGTGGAAGGCTGGCTCATGTAGACCTCACTCTACATTCTTTGCTAGTCATGCTGGACAACAGGGCTGATGTCTATGTCTTTCACTTGTTGTCCATGTTCATTCTTCACAGGCCTCAAAATGAAGGTGTTGGATATGTCACAGGCTTCGACTCGTGTAGCCATTGGACACCCACTCCAGCTTATTGAGGAATTCCTAATGGAAAATAATCTACTGCTGTGATGTACTCATAGCCTTTAAGCCTAATTCAGCTCCCAAAATGGTCTTGTGCCCTACTTCAGGCACAAGCAACCAATCCTTGCCTACCACCCTAGTCAGACCCCCAAAATGTAAAGATCAGCTCAGTCCCACTTTCTGATGCCTGGCAACCTAGCAAGCCATGGCCCTAATTCTTCTCCTCCCAAGGGTAGGGCACAGAGTAGCAAGCCGTACACTTCTACCCAAGCTTCTCCAACCAGTTCATTTTCATATCTCTCTTTGTCTTGCTTTTATACCAAACCAGATATCTTTACTCACCTAGACGATCTTTGCCCTGCCCTTCCTCTTAAAAATGTTGCAAGCATAAGTACAGCTGTGAAGAATTTCAGATGAATAAATTAGAATAAGAGGATGAATAAGAGAATCTTTTTTTTTCCTGTACTCCTACTACCATTCTATGGGTGGATTGTTTTTTCTCTTGCTGGGGATCAAACCCAGGGCCTCACAGTTGAAAGGCAAACTGATTTCTAGCTACAGACAATTTTAGAGATCAATAGAGAGAATATAAAGGAGGATAAAATAAACTTTGTATCCTGCAACTTTTGATTTATTTTCAGATGTAAAGCCACTGGCAGTATAATCTCCAAGGCCCCTCTCCAAATTATTTCAGTGAGGCTGGGATTGAGCTAATGCATCCATGCCTGCCAGCTGTCGTCCTGGGTCACTGAGCACAGTGGGCACCTGAGAGGCAGTAGCAGACCCAGGCAGAGACAGTGTCCGAGTTGCAGAGTCATTCGTGTAACGAGCCAGGGCAGCCATGATTGGGGAAAGAACTTTGACCTTGATAGCGCTGCCTGTCAACCAGCAGCACTGACTTAAACAATAGCTCAACTCAACAGATATTCATGGAGCAAATCCAGTCTAAATACTTTGACAGGTGCTAGAGTTACAAAGATGCATACAAAATTGCCCTAGGTACTTTTAATACCAAGGTACCATTACAGCAGCTATAAAACTTTCAAATTATAAATCCTAAAAGAAATGAATTAGCGGGCTGGGGATTTATCTCAGTGGTTCTAGCACCTGCCTTGCAAGCACAAGGTCCCGAGTTCGATCCCCAGTGCCAAAAAAAAGAAATGAATTAGCCTTTGTTGGGCATGTATTATGTGCCAGTAACTATGCTAGACATATTTCACATGTTATCTTTTTGTTTGTTTGTTTTTTGGTACCGGGGATCAGACTCTGGTCCTTGTGCTTGCCCAGCAGGCGGCGAAACCACTGGGCTAAAAATCCCTGGCCCGGAGTTTTTTTGTTTGTTTGTTTTTTGGGTTTTGTTTTTTGCTTATCTTTTTTATATATTGTATAGATGGTTATTAATAGGTCAATATGGTTTTATATGTGGCTATATTTATTTATTAGAAATATGTATTTGTACCTGTGTGTATACAGTTACATAGTAAAGTATATCAGTGGCTTCTTTTTCTAGTTGGTATGGTGAAGCACCCTGGACTGCCAAGTAGAGCTACATATGTACATAAAGAAATTTAGATACACAAGGGCTGGGGAGTTAGCTCAGTGTTAGAGCACTTGCCTAGCAGGCAGAGGGCCTTGGGTTCTATCCCCAGCACCACCAAAAACAAAAAGAAACTGCATATGTATGTATGTATGTATATATATACATATATATAATATATATATGTATATATATATTATATATATGTATATATGTATATATGTATATATATATATGTATAATATATATATATATAAAATGGTTACCTGTATGTTTACATGTGTTCTATTAATCTATCTTTATGTATGTACATTCGTAACTACTTAACAGACAAGGCTATTTTTGTGGAGAAGGCCAAGGAGCCTCAGCCTACCATTGAAGACCTGACAGATATTCCAAACTTGTCGTCACTGCTGGTCCAAAAGTCTCCTGTTGCCCTGTGATCTCAGGCTTTGCCTAATTCTTGCCTCTCCACATATCTTCTCTTTTAACTCGACATTTTATGAAACAGACATCATTATCATGCCCTTTTTTATTTTTAACAGAATAGGAAACTAAGATTTAAACAACATGCCTGGTAGAACTTTCTGCAGTGATGAAAACATTCTAGACCTACAGTGTACGGTCACTGACCAGTAGCCATATGTCTCTGGAATAATTGAAATGTGGTTAAGGCAACTGAATTTTATTTTATTTCCTTTTCATTTGATTTGCCCCATGTAGACAGTGGCCACTCTATTAGATACCTCTGGCTTAGGGAGCTCAGACTCCTCAAGGTTCTGTGTGATCTGGCCTCCATTATCCCTATTATAGAGCTATCAAGGTTGTGTTTATCTTTTTTTACTTGACTTTAAACTCCTTAAAGGCAGGGCAGTAATCTGTTTGTGTTTGTATTTTCCCATCTAACAGTGTTGCTGGCACATTAGAATAAATGTGTTTTAGGCTAGGAATGTGGCTCCGTGGTAAAACACATGCTTAGCATGCCTGAGGCCCAGGATTCAATCCCCAGAAACAAAAAATAAAATTAAAATAAACAAATATGGCCAGCTATGGTGGCACACACCTGTAATCCTAGCTCTTAGGAGGCTGAGGCAGGAGGATCACTGTGAGTTTGAGGCCAGCCTGGGCTACATAGTGAATTCAAGGCCAGCCTGAATACATAGTGAGACCCGGGGACTGGGGATTTAGCTCAGTGGTTCTGCTGCCCGCCTTGCAAGCACAAGGTTCTGAGTTCTATCTCCAGTACCAAAAAACAAACAAACAAACAAACAAAAAGACTCTGTCCCACATAGTGAGACCCTGTCTCATATAAATGAATGAATGAATGTGCATTGACTATTAAAATGCATGACATATGCAAAAGTTTGGTTGCATTATTTTCTGAAGAATTTCACCTCAATGCAGTGGTAACAGTTTATATTGTTTTACTGTGGCCTTACCATAGATGAGACAAATTTTAAAAGCCAAAGCTGATTTGACCTCAGGGGAAAGAAAAGCAGGCATAAAATCAGGGTATACTTATACTAGTATTTTATCTTGCCTCTGATAAAGGACTCATTACTTTGGACTTAATACAGTGCACCCCTCTCACAACCCAAGGCCTGCCTTGAAGGAGAGGTGCATTACTAGAAAGTCCCCCAAGGGGTTATGCCAGATTCCTCAGGGCTTGAGGGACTGTTCCAGATTTACTCAGGCTGCAGGGCCCTGTAGCCCAGTCCCAAGTAGCTAAATCTCTTCTTTTCTCCACAGGGAAACAACTGGAAGGCATCTGGTGAGTTATGGGACTCCTTATGACAGCTTTAGGAAACAAAGTACCACTGCACACAATTCATTCTCCACATCCTAAAGCAACAATTCTCCACTAGGGCTGTTTTGCACCTCCACTCTCTTTCAAGGGACATTTGGCAGAGTCAAGAGACATTTTTGGCCGGGTGTGGTGGTGCACACTTGTTACCCCAGCACTAAAGAGGCTGAGACAGGAGGATCACAGCAAGTTTGAGGGCAGCCTGGGCTACATAGCGAGTTCAAGGCCAGCCTGAACTACATGGTAAGACCCTGTCTCCAAAAAAAAAAAGACATTTTTGTTTGTTACAGCTGGGGGAAGATGCTCAACACCCTTTAACGTGCAGGATGCCCTGCAGCAGTGATCTAGCCCCAAATGTCAGTATACAGAGTGGAGAAGCCCTGATCTGTGAGCTGTATCAAGAGTTCATCCAACTGCAGACTGAAAATACTCCAGGGGTGAGGGGGATTGTGTCACAACCGGGGACACAACTCAGCGCTAGAGTACTTCCCTATGGCACATTTGAGGCCCTGGGTACACCCCAGTGCTGCAAAAAACACAAAAAGCACGCCTGTACTGAACATGCACAGACTTTTAAAAAAATTATTCCCTAGACAACAGAGCATAACAACTATCTATATAGCATTTACATTGCAGTAGTTATTATAATTAAATCACCTTGAAATGATTTGAAGATGTGCATAGGTTCTAGGCAAATACTACGCCTTTTTATTTTATAAGAGGGACTTGACCACCATGGATTTTGGTATGGGGGGGGTTCAGGAATAATCCCCATGGACAAAGGGGGACCAACTGTATCTTATTCGTGCCTTTATTTGGTTGGCTTTATGAGGCTGGTCACCACAGTACCATCCTTGGGGAGAAAGTATTACCTTTGTGGTGCAGTGCTTGCTTTCTCTGGGTCCCGTCTGACTCCCTGTGTCTCTTTGCAGGCACACTTCCATAGTTGTGCACAAGGATGAGTTCTTCTTTGGCAGTGGCGGAATCTCCAGCTGTCCCCCGGTGAGTGTCTTCTTCCACACCTTGCCCTGCGTTTCAGGGACCTGGGGTTCCCACAGACTAAGAATTTTCTTCTACTGTGTGCCTCTGTCCTCCAGCCCAGTGCATGGAGGCCTATGGTGTGGTTCCTCACCACCACCTTGGGGCTGTAGCTCGGGGTAGAGTGCTTGCCTTGCATGCACAAGGCCCTGAGCTCGATCCCTGGCACCGTACATCCCCCAAAAATGGCTCACTGAAGAAGACCTTTTCCAGACACTCCAGCCAGTTCCATTTCTCTCTACTCCCATGGTATCTGTGGGTCCCTCTGTCTTACACTCAGCACGTTATAGTGACACAAGCTGCTTCTGAATCTCCACAGAGAAGCATATGTAAGCCCCAGCAAGCTGAGATCAGGTCTTCCCCATGTAGCCTGTCCCCAGCACAGTCCCTGTCAAGCTGATGTGAGAGGTAAAGTGAGTTAGAGTAACACAGCCAGTCCTGGAACTCAGCTCTGATAAAGCCCATGCCCTTGCCCAAAACATTTCAGAGATATCTAAGGGTTGTCATGGAAAGGCTCAAAGACTAAGCAACCATTCATTCTGCTGTTCATAAATGAGAAGTCAGCCAGACATGGTGGCTCACACCTGTAATGCTAGCACTCGGAAGGCTGAGGCAGGAAGATCACCAAGAGTTTGAAGCCAACCTGAGCTATGTAGTTCAAGTCCAACCTGAGCTATGTAGTGAGACCGTGTCTCAAACAAAAAAGGGGGTGGGGGGGTCAGTCTTGGTTTCCTCTCATGGCCATCCTCACCCCGACCTCTTTTCCCATCTCCCCAGAGCTTTCACCTTAGTCCAGGGCCTCGAGTCTAACCTGGACCGCAGCAGTAGTCTCCAGGTCTCTTCCATCTGCTCTCCCTCCTCTGTTCTCTACACGGGAGGCAAAGTGGTCTTTTCCTCCAATCATGGAATTCCAGATTGGAGCCAGAATCCTCCCCATTACTCTTGGAATAAAATCTGGAATCCACAGCTAGGCCTCCATGGCCCCCGATGGCCACCTTGAGGTCCTGTTCTCCCATCCCTGCCGCTCCTCACTCCTTGAGCACACCTTGGGCATTTGAACTTGTACTCTGACTTCAGTACACCTCCAGATCCTCCACCCCATGGGCCTCTCCATCCTTCAGGTCTGAGTCCAGCCAAGCCTTGCCTGTCCCCTCAGACTGCAGGAGTACCCTGTCATGTGTACTAATGGCCTTCTGCAATTTTCCAGCACAGCCTTTATTGCCACTTGTAATTACACACTGGCTACATTCCCTGCTAGACTACCAGGTCCATCAAAGCATGGATCTCATCTGCTTTGTGTACATCATACCCCCAGTGCCTAGCATAAGACATAGCGCGAAGTTCTCGATACCTGTTTGTCCCGTGAGTGACTAAAGTCTCCACTAGTGACCTCTCAGTCTCTCCCAGCACTGAGCTGTTTACCCTTGATGATCAGAATTGCCTGTCCTCCTCACTGTGCTGTCCATGATGCTTAGACTATATCAGCTACTTAGGAGGTGCTCAGTGCTGTGAATGAATGACCTCATGTAGCTCTGCTCTGGAATGTTCTCCCTTCCTGGATCTGTCCTCCGTGTTCCTGTTGCTTTCCCTTTTGTTGGTGTCCCCACTGCCCTCTGTCTCTCCTTTAGTATTCTGTGGCATTCCAGGGGCCAGTGGCTCCCCTGCCCTGTCACCATCAGCAGATCAGCCTCAGATCAAAAATGAACTGAATTGTGGGAATATTTGCAATCCTGCCAGATTTCTCACACTCCTTCACATTTTCCCATTGTTACAAAGGACATCCAGTGTGTCACAAGAAAAATGGGCTGTGTTCTTTCTGAATATAGGCGTGGAGAGCAGGTGTGAGCCATTTAAAGTTGTCCTGTTCTGTCCTTGTAGTCGGGCATGTTGGGGACAAAAAGAGACTGCAGATTATGGGTTTCTCTCTCTTCATCAACTGAATGAGTGGACAGCAGAAGTTGTTGGGCCTGCAAGAGAATCAGCTTCTCGGGGCCCACCAGAAAGAAGAAGCCCAACTTCATGCTCTGCTGGCAGCATGTGGCAATGGGAGGTCTACCAGGGAGCTGTTGTACCCTTGGTACAAACAGGAAACAGACCTGGCCATCTGCCCAGTGTGCTCTGAAAGCTAAAAATAAGTTGGAACAGTGCATTTGTGGTCTTCTGTGGAAAGCCACATTAAAAAAAATTCAACAGATGTCTAGGAATATAGCCCATTGATATCTTTTTTTTTTTTTTTTTGGTACCGGGGATCGAACTCGGATCCTTGTGCTTGTCCAGCAGGCGATGAAACCACTGAGCTAAATCCCCGCCCCTGTAGCCCATTGATACAGTGCTTGCCCAGCAAGTATGAAGCCCTGGGTTCATTCCCCAGTACCACCATCAAAAAAAAAAAAAAAATCAATAGAGATGGTGATTTATGACTTTCTTTGGGTTGGCTCTTTTAGGGAGGGACATTGCTTGGACCTCCAGACTCTGTGGTTGATGTGGGGAGCACAGAAGTGACAGAAGAAATCTTTCTGGAATACCTGTCCTCCCTGGGGGAGTCTCTGTTCCGGTGAGTGGAAGAGGGGCAGGTTGGCAGCATTTGTCACCCCTGGGAGGCCACTGCTGTGCTTTGTCCCTGGGGTGCCCAGTGCAAAGCCTGGTCAGGTTTTTGCTGAATGAATACGTAGAGAAACCAGTTACCATTGCTACAAGAAGAACCCAAAGTTGTTCTGAGGCAGATATTCCATCCTAGCATAATTTCTGCTAGAACTTTTAAAGGAAAGGCAAGCTCTTCATTCCTTCTGATTAAAATCAGCAAATGCTGGGCCGGGGATTTAGCTCAGTGGTTCTGCCACCTGCCCCACAAGCACAAGGACCCGAGTTCAATCCCTGGTACCAAAAAAAAAAAAAAATCAGCAAATGCTGTTCTCTGCCTTTACTGGCCAGGTGCTTTGTCCTGAACAACAAAAGGCAGGTTTGTAGCAAGGTTGGGATGAAATAGAAACTTGAACAGATTTCTCTTTAAGCTTTAGCTGAGGGCGGAGGTGTGGTTCGGTGTAGAGCTCTTAGTAGGCAGGTTCCATCCCCAGCACCAAAAAAAAAGAAACTTGAATCAATTTCAGTAAGGGGTAAACTGTAACTCTAGAGCTCTTCTCTTGTGAACATGAAGATTCTAAACTGTACAGTCCACACATCTTTCCCCTAGAAATCAGTTCTGAAAGGCCAGGGTGGTGGATCCAACAGTCTTTTTGGCATAGTGGAAGGGCAGTCAAAGTGCTCACTTGGGCTCCACTCACATGTCGCCCTGTTTTGCCTGCTGGTTTTCTATCTCTTCTCCTTCTTATCTCTCCTCTTTCTCATCTTTCTTGCCATGCACAGAGGTGAAGCCTACAACCTCTTTGAACACAACTGTAACACATTTAGCAACGAAGTGGCACAGTTCCTGACTGGGCGGAAGATCCCCTCTTACATCACTGACCTGCCCTCTGAAGTCCTCTCCACGTAAGTGCAGCCTCTGACTCTGGCCCTGCTTGGCCAGCTTTGAAAATCCCCAGTCACACTACCGCTTCCCAGCCCACATCTGCCCTCCTGCGATGGCAGCAGAACCCTCCCAACCAGGAGGACCAGTCCTGACGACAGTCTCTACCACAGAACACCATTCTTCTCCCCACCTACTCCTGCACCCCTGCATCACCTCCACCCTTTTCAGAATCAGGCCAACTCCACCCGGCCTAAGTGCAAGCCCAGAATTCAGAAAACAAGTCAGGTGCGGTGGCGCACACCTGTAATCCCAGTACTCAGGAGGCTGAGGAAGGAAGATCACCAAGAGTTTGAGGCCAGCCTGGGCTACATAGTGAGTTTGAGGCCAGACTGAACTCACATAAAGACTCTGTCTAAGAAAGAACTTAGAAACCCACTCAACCCTGGCTTTAGGGTTTGGAAAAATCCCGGCACCTGTCTTAGTACTGTGCAGGAAGCATGCTGCTCCCCAGCAGCACCCAGCTCAAATGTCAGGGCAACCACAGAGGAGGACAGAGGAATAGCAGGGCAGCTTGTTTGGAACTGGTATCTTTCTTTCTTGGTTTTTTTTTAGGGAGGAGTTGACATTGGGTCTTGCTCTGTAGTTCATGGTGACCTCGAACACACAGCAATCCTCCTGCCTCAGCTTCCTGATTGCTGGGATTACAGGCTTGTGCCACTGTGCACTGTTGTCTTTCTTCCACTGCACTCTGAGCCCTTTGAGTCCCTCTTAGGCTGAGTTCTGCTTGTCTTCCAACCTTAAATGCACTCTCAGCCCTCTGTAAATTTTTTTTTGGTACCAAGAATCGAACTCAGAACCTTGCACTTGCCAGGCAGGCACAGTGCCACTGAGCTAAATCCCCTCCCTGTCGATGTTTTCTTCAAGAACACTTCATAGCTCCCCAGCTGTGGCAGGGCCTGTGGGCCATCACCAGGCAGCAGCATCCCTCCTGGAAGACACATGCCAAAACCATCTCACCCCTCCTCCTCTTTGCTCGCAGGCACCCTCTGCCCACACTAGGACCATATCCATTTGTTGGCTCTGACTCCATTTCTCCTAAGCAAGGGTCCTTCCCAGAAAGATCCTGGCAGGTTGAGCTGGCTCCACAGGTGAGCTGTTTTTCACACCTGGGTCAGAAGCTCTCAGGAAAACCAAGACTGAGGAGCCCGGTCTCCAAGCCCTGGCCTCCCCTTCTTGTCCCCACCTTCCTGCCCGTTGGATGTGTGAAATCCCACAGCCTGACAGGGATCTAGGTTTCTGGGCCCTGAGGAAACAAGTAGCTGGCATGTCTTCGCTGTTGTTCTCTCAGTGGTGGAGTTCATGGGCTTATCTGACTTAGAATCGATATTTCTAGATGTCATCTGTTTGCACTGGGGTGCTTCATTCCCTTGAACTTGGGGGTGATTTTCAAAACAGCCATGCCATGCCAGTGCCCAGATGTGCAGTAGGCAGCTGTGTTTCAGGGAGTAATAATCTTGGAAAGTCTCCCAACTCCAGTGTTTGCAGTGATTTTTCCTGCTAAGTTACTGCCAGACAAAACTGGGAGCCCTTTACAAAGTGACAACGACACCTCTCCATCCTGGTCTGGGTCGTTCTTCCTGACTGTTTCCTGTACTCCCTGGACGACCTCAGGTCCTAGCAGAACCTAATTGTCTGCAATCCTCATGCCTGACTTTATCTTATCATCTTCGTATTCTTTTCACTTTGCCGCAGCTTCCTCTCTTCAACATTATCTTCCTCACAAGAATCACAGGTACAAGTACCTCCAGTGCAGAAAGCTCCAGTTTCCCATGGGCAGCCAGCCTGATCAAACCACGGCTTACTCACCAGGCCTTAGAGGTGGCAGTGCCCACTGATTGGGACACCCCAGGAATAAAAACACACGAAGCAGGTGGGGTGTCATGGCACATGCCGGTAATCACAGAACTCAGGAAGCTGAAGCAGGAGGATCACTGCATATTCAAGGCCAGCCTGGACTACATAGTGAGACCCTGTCTCCAAACAAACCAGAGCAGGCTATTTGAGGGAGAGCCTCTGTGCTTAGTCAGCTTTGTTACCATGACTAATACCTGAGATCATCATGTAAAGGAGGAAAGGTTATTTGATTGTCTCTCTTTTTTTTTTTTTGGTACTGGGGATCAAAATTGGGTCCTTGCACTTTCGAGGCAGGAGGCAGAACCACTGAGCTAAATCCCGGCCTGAGGAAAGGTTATTTGGGATCACACTGTCAGAAGTTTCAGGCCAATCAGTTGCCCCTTTGCCTTGGGCCTATGGTGACAAAGCACCTTGTGGCAGGAAGTAGTCTGGAACAGAGCCAGAAGTAAAGAGAGGAAGCAGAATGGCTGGGGTCCCACTGTCTCCTTCAAGGACACCCCCAGTTACAGGATGCCCTCCCATAGGCCTCACCCCTTACGCGCTCCGCCGCCTCCCAGTAGCACCATAGGCCAGGAGTGGTGCCTAAGGCTTTAGGGAACACTCGTCCAGACTATGGCTTCCTCAAAAGCACTAGTGAGTGAGATGGCAGGAAAAGTAAATGAGAGTTGCTTGTGATGGTGCAAACCTGTAACACCAGCTTTCTGGGAGGCTGAGACAAAAGGATCACAAGCTCAAGCCTAGCCTGGGGACCTTAGTGACTTAGTGAAAAACTTTGTCAAAATTTTAAACAACAGGGCTGGGGATGTAGCTCAGTGGTGCCGCGCCTGCCTGGCAAGTGCAAGCTCATGAGTTCAATTCCCAGTACCAAAAAAAAAATTTTTTTTTTTTAAACAACAGCTGGGAATGTAGCTCAGTGTGAAGGCCCTGGGTTCAAGCCTCAATATGAAAAAAAGTTACCTGCGATCCCAGGGTGGTCCTGCCTGGTTTTTGTTTTGTTTTTGTTTTTGTTTTGGTACTGGGGATGGAATTTGGGACCTTGCACCTGCAAGGCAGGCGATGGCACCACTGAGCTAAATCCCCCAGGGTGGTCCTAGAGGTGCTGCTGCCACCAACGTGCACTATACCCCACCTCTGCACCTTCTCTGGGGCAGACCCCACCCCACAGCCCGTGTGATCTTGTCTGTCTCACCGCAGGCCCTTCGGACAAGCCCTCCGGCCCCTCCTGGACTCCATCCAGATCCAGCCTCCCGGAGGAAACACGGTGGGCAGACAAAATGGCCAGAGCTAACCGGACTGCTTGGGAACACCTGCCCATCTGCTCTGCAGGGCTTTTCCTTTTTAAACAAAACAAACCCTACCAGATTTCTATTTTATAATTTTACATCAGAGCTAATAACCAGAGGACAGCTTTTTAAAATTTCCCAGGGAAGGAAATCGTCAGGCTGCATGTAGGACAATGCTGCTAAGAAACGAAACAAAATGCCCCCTTCTAATAGTATTATACTAATTTATTAAGTCTGTCTTGTCTGTGAGTTCACTTACGACACTGTTTCCAAAGCGTCTTCCACACTGGAGAAAGGGAGGGGGTTTGTTTCAGCAGTAGCCAAAAGGGCCACTTTGGGGGAGCCCCAACTTGGAACCTCTTTCCAGAGAATACCCGCATCCCACCCAGGTTGCCACACCTGTGGGACCAAGGAGTTTTCCAACAGCCGTGACCTGGAAGTGGTTACTCTTAGCATTAAATGAACCAAAGGATGTGGTGCATGTGGGGCCAGTTGCAGGATGACTAACCGACCTCAGTGAGCTCTTTCAGCAGACTTCTGTCACCTTCCCTCCCCTGACGCAAGCATGGGGCCAGGGCTGCAGCAGCCACAGCTCAGAATCAGAGGAAAGTGACAGCCAGTACCAGGCCAGAGAAAATAGGATAAAGCCATTCCTCCTCCCGCCCAGACTGATTGCCAATCCTCTGCCATCCATTTGGGAAAACCTGCCTTGCTGCCTGCTGTGGTGAGGCTGCTATTCCTCAGCTTGGCGGACCTGCCACAGTGGATCAGGCCTGGGCTGGAGCCACAGAGACCCAGGCCCTCTGTCTGCACAGAAACCACACCTGGCCCCATATGCAGCGTTCAGCTGGGAACCAAGGGGACACGAATCCCAGCTTAGGGACTATAGAAAGAATATGATGCAGAATCAAGGTGGCAAAAAAATGTAGTTGTTTCCAATAGGACTTTTCCATTATTCTGAATGTGATTTGATGGCACAAATCATTTCCATTGTCATTCTGGCTTTAAGGAGGTTCGACTGGGGTATGAGTGGGGATTTCCCTAATGACTTGCTGCTGATCTTCTGGCAGAGCAATATGGAAGTCTCAGATGTGGGACGGCTTTCAGACTCCCTTTCTTCACATGCACTCCCACGGCTTAGTTAGAGGAGTGAGTGGAGAGGGACTCAGAGCTGCCAGGTGCCTGGCTCTCGGCTCTGCTTCCTGGGCCCCTCCTGCCCTGGTCCCCTGCCCCCTCTAAAACTTGAGTCCAGCTGCTCCTTCCGAGGCAGGGGTCTTTCCTCCCTGAAATCTGCTGCTCACCCTGGCGCTGACCCTGCTGTCTTTGCCATTAGCCGTAGCAGTTGGCATTATCAGGGTCTCAGCTAGAGGAAAAGATGTCATTCTGCCTTGGTGTCTGCCTGTATCTCACAGGGCATGTCCAAATGGTATCAGGTTAGATTTTAGAATTTAAACCAGGCCAAATGAGTGAGCAGTTTAGTTCTCAGGCCATGTGTGTGGCAGTGATTAATCAGATCAGAAAGAAGCAGGGATGGCTTGATGCTGATCTACTAGTAGGTTCAAGGAGAATGAGTGTTAGAGGCTGGGTTTCTTCCTGGAGGGCAGCTGGTTGACCTAGGCCAGCATCCCACCAGTGTCCCCTTTTCCTGTCTGCCTGAAGTGCACATCTCTACCCGGAGGGTACTGAGCTTTTCTCCTATCCCATGTCTGGGATCAGCTGGTTTTGCCCCTCCCAGTGGTCACTTTCAGACCCAGGGCTAGTCTGAGCTCTGAGTGACTCCAGGAGGGAATATGAGTCACTTGATTCCTTGAATGCCACCCTTCATGTCCAGCAACCGTTTGTGCTACTGCTGTGTCCTGGATTGGTGGAAGATAGAGGGGTGGGTGAGCAGCCACCCAGAGCTCATGGGGAGGTGAGCTGCCCTCCCCTATTCCACCCCCGCCACCCCTTAGGGCAGAAGACAGGCCTGAGCTAGGCCCCCCCAGCCCCATCCCACATCTCCATCCATCCCAGAGCCACAGGAGCATCCTCGGGACCAGCTGGCTCCGTGTGGGCACCAGGTGGAAAATGAGTCATACACTGTCATGCAGTGGACGTCTCTTAGAGGTGCACTGATCTAAAGGGACAGGGAAAGAGGAGCAATGAGACCATCACCCTCTCCCAGGAACAAAGCTCGTACCTTTGAGATTCCATTATGCCCTTGAAGTCAGGCTGATAATTGTGTCCCATACAGAGGTGTTTGCTGGTTTTCATTGGTGTTTTTCTAATGCAATAAACTCATTTCTGCCTGCTGCATTTGCGTGGTCCTCGGATCCGCTCACTGTGTGTCGGGGGTGAGGTAAGCCCAGGCCTCTCTGTCTCCCTCATGCTTTACCTTACTGAGGCTGTGCCACCTTGGCTGCCTTGTAAGCCTGGGGATAAGTGGTGACAGTGAGGATGTGTGGCTGTCACCACTGTCAGTAGAGGTGGGGATGAGACTCAGAGTACTCCATGCCACAGCTCGCCAGCTTGCAAATGGTGGAGAGGCTTCAAACCAAAGTCTTCCCTGGATGACTCATGGTGGGTGTCCAGCCTCACCAAGAATTGTTCTAGTTTCTCTCATGGGTGTGGGGGGGTGCCTGTTACTGGGAATTGAACCTGGGCCCTGCACAATGAGCTACATCCCCAGCTGTTTTTATTTAGAGACAGGCTGGGCTCGAACTTGTAGTCCTCCTGCCTTACCCTTAAGAGTATGGAGATTACAAGCATCCACCCCCATGCCCACCTTCTTCTAGTTTCATTTTGGCTGTGAAGTGGGTCCACAGCCCAGGAATCTCTCTCTGCCTGCTGCAGTGGCCTCCTTGAACAGTGTCAGAGTTGCTGGCCAGGTCTGCAGCATTGTCAGGCAACTGCACTTGGCACCTTCTATGGGCCCAACTGGCCAGGGTGCTTCCACACACACACAGCCGAGGTGGGCAGGTTGGCACCACTTTACCAGGGAGGAAACAAGGACAGAAGCAAGATTACCCAGCTGGCAGGTGGCCGAGCCTGTGCTAGAATCCAGGCCGTGTTCTCATTGCTGCTGTCGGGACCTCATTGTGAGGCCCTGCCTTCCCCAGTGTGCTAGCTAAGGAATAAAACAAGAGGCACTGGCTTGGCCTGGCATCTGCTCCTGAGAGCCAACCTATTCAGGCCAGGAGTCCTCAAGGCCCCACTCAGATGGCACAGTCTTCGAGGAAGCCCCAGCTTTGCCACCCCTGGGCCTATCTGTTTCTGTTTGTCTCTTCTGTAAATGTGAAAATGGTCCCCACCCTGCAAGAAGAGAGAATGTACAGCCCAGTTAAATGCTCAGTGAACCTCAGGCTAAGGGGCCACAATCCTGACAGCCATTGTTGGCAGGGCCCAGAGTGGACTGAGGAACATGCCCCGTGGGAGAAGACGAGAAGGTGGTGGAGCAAGGCCTGGCCTAGAAGAGGACTGTCTTCCCCCCACCCCACCCCCATTCACCAGAAAACCATCAAGCATGATGTCCTGCAGACCTTAGCTACTCTCCTGGCTCCAGGACCAGCCCCTTTTTACCTCCCCTGCACTTCCCTTATCTCTACCACTATAAATAAATGGGCTGGGCCGGGGATTTAGCTCAGTGATTCCACCTCCTGCCTCCCAAGTACAAGGACCCAAGTTCGATCCCTAGTACCAAATAAATAAATAAATAAATAAATAAATGTGCTGTAGTTCCCTGGTGATCTTTTTCTACCCTCAGGAGTTAGACCCCCACCTGGCCCTACCTTTGTTTCTCTTTGTTCTTTTTTATCTCTGTCTTTGTTTTTTCTTAATCTCCCACCATCATTTCTCACTCTGAACCCTTCAGCCATCATGGCTAGGGCAAGCCATTACCAGGGAATCCTGCAAGCCAGCAGCAAGGGGAGAGGACCAGGCTGACCTCTGCTGGGATAGTGCCTGACCACCCACTTGCTTCTGGGGAAATGGCCGAAAATGTGTTTTCCCCTCAACTTTGGGGGGGATGTTGATTCTGGGGTGAGTGTGTTCAACCTCAGCCATTCCGTGGGAGCAGTTGTATGTGGCAACAGCAGGCTCTTGGCAGAGTGTGAGGGGTCCGGGCTTCTCAGAGGAGAAAGGGATGTTTAACCTGAGGCCTAAATGATGAAGACATTGATGGGGGGAGAGGGGTACAGGCCAGGCAGAGGGCGCCTCAAGTGAGAACACTGGGGTGGAGCTGAGGAGTGGGGTAGCAGGAAGTGCTGTGAAAGCTTCTGATGTGCTGTTGCCTTGTAAATGAGGTGGGGGTGGGCTGTGGTCCCACAAGAGACCTGGAGAAGCCCTGGATGACAGTTTGGAATGGGAGTGGGGAGCACAGACCTGTGGAACAGGCCAAGGCCCCCTGGGGGACTCTGGAGCCTCTATCAGCTATTTAGCCTGCCTCTGTGGGCTTCAACAGGGCTACCCCAGCTTTGATTTGTAGTGTCCCTAGGTTTCTCAATATATATATTTTTTGTACTGGGGATCAAACTCAGGACCTTGTGCTTAGGTTTCTCAATATTTTTCAAAATATTTTTTAGTTGGCTGTGGTGGCACCCAGTTGTAATGCCAGCACTCGGGAGTCTGAGGCAGGAGGATTGCCATTGTAGCTTAGGCTACATAGTGAATTCAAGGCCAGCCTGGACTACATAGCAAGACCTTGTCTCAAAAAAAAAAGAAAAATTCTTTGCAATACAAGTATAGACAATGTGTATTTAGAATATTTAAGCAACCATTAAAAGTACAAGCCAGAGGGCCGGAGATTTAGCTCAGTGGTTCTGGCACCTGCCTCGAAAGTGCAAGGTCCCAAGTTTGATCCCTGGTACCAAAAAAAAAAAAAAAAAGTACAAGCCAGGCATAGTGAGCCAGGAATGTGGCTAAGCGGGATAGTTCTTGCCTGGCAAGCACAAGATCCTGAGTTCGATTCCCAGTACCCCCCCCCCAAAAAAACGGCCAGGCATAGTGGCACACCCTATAATCCTAGCCTTCAGAAAGCTTGCAGGAAGATTGATGCGAGTTTGAGGCCAGCCTGGGCTACATAGTGAGACCCTGTCTCAAAAAAGAAAAAAAGATGGCGCCACACCTGCCTCACACCCTCAAGGTCCTGAGTTCCATCCCTGATACTGCAGGAAAAAAAAAAAAAAAAAAGTACTGCAAAAGAAAAAAAAGACAGAAAAACAAAAAGTACAGATGATCAGCCAGGCACAGTGAGAAATACAGAGGCCCGAGGATATCAAGTTCCAAGTGCAATTCTCACCTAGGCAACTTAGTGAGACCTTGTCTCAAAAGAGACAGGTGATGATGATGGATGGATGGATACGGCTAAGAATGTGGAGATACAGCTCAACGGTTGAGCAGGCCTTGAGTTCAATCCCCAGTATGGAGGCCGGTGGGAGTACAAAGATAAAAGAAAGAAATTCGCATGAAATTCCATCATCCCAAGAAACCTCACAGCCTTGTATTTGAAGATACCCGCTCTCAGGCACCCGGGCATTGTGCTCCTGACACGCGGTGAGGATGTGTGTGCGCGTGCGCGGCCCCCAGGATGAAGGCGGTGACAGACACAAGAAGCCCTGAGAAGGAGCCGGCATGATGGGGCCGGGGCCGGGAGGTGGGGCGCTGGGGTGGGAGGAACCCTCCTGGCCAGGTGGGAACTGCGCCCTTCGATCCTCGCCTCTTTTTTTTTTTTGGAACGGGGATCGAACTCGGAACCTTGCGCTTGCGAGGCAGGTGGCAGAACCACTGAGCTAAATTCCCGGCTCTGATTTTTAGCTTATTTTAAAAATTTATTTTATTTATTTATTTTGATCCTCGCCTCTTCACGCCAAGCCAGGGGCCCAGCAGCTGTCCGGTGTACCACCAAGCGCGATCCTCGACCCCGGAGCCCGGTGGCTTTGGAAGGAGGAGAGAGCTCTGTCACCAGCGGGGACAGCCGGCACGGTCACACTGCAGTGAGAGAGGCGGTCGCCGGGGGCGCTGTGCAGCTGCGGCGCTCCGCCGCCCAAGCCTTGGGTCCTCATCCCAGTCCCTCACACACTTGTCCTGCGCACGAAGGTCCAACCCCGCACTCTGGAGCAAGGTGACTGTCACTCTGGTGGTTTCATGACCTCCGTGCCACAGTCGCCAGCTCCACCTGGATCTCCTGACCAAGCCCTTACTCAGGCCTGAAGGCCCAGCGTTGCCCAGCGCCATCCCCGACATCACTGAATGGTAGGGACAGGGTTTGGAGGGAGAAGGTCATTTGAAAAACTCTTGACCTGCCCAGGTGTGGTGGCGCACACCTGTCGTCCCAGCTGCTCTGGAGGCTGAAGCAGGAGTAACGAGGCACATTCTAGCCCAGCCTGGACTACACAGTGAGTTCTAAGCCAGCCTGAACAACATAGTGAGACCCTGTCTCAAAAACAACCAAACAATAACAATAAATAAAAAGCTCTGAGGTACAGCTCAGTGGTGGAGTGCCCCAGGTTGGTTCATCCCCCAGCACCATAGACAAACAACTCTGGACCTGAATTCCCACTGACCTTGATCAAAGCATTCCCTTCTTGGGCCTCAGTTTCTCCTGTAGTGTGGAAAACACAGATCAGATCTGAGTCAACGCTAAGACCTCTCACGATTTGCCAAGTTCTCCCAGTCCCTGGACCCAGGCTCTGACCCCCAGAGACCCCTGAGCTGTCCCCACGGCTGAGGGGGGTCCCCTGGGGCCTAAGCCAACCCAGCAACAGCCTCCTCCCTGTGACAAACACTGCATCTGCACCTGCCCTCCCCCCTTGCTTAAGTCCCATGGCCTTGTTTATTGTGAAACAATATAAACTTCACAGGCATTTTGAAAGGAAAAGCCAACAAATACACCCCCAGCTCCCCTCATCCTACTGACAGCCCAGGGTGGCAGCGCAGGCCCCATCAATAGATGAGGGACACACTCAGAGTGGGAGGGACCTGCCCAGTGTCACTGGGTAAAGAGCAGCCTCACACACTGTCAGTTTGACTAAACCCCGTCACACGGGCCACCTTTCAGACCAGGACCACCTGCCTCCGAAGGTCCAGGTAAAGCAAAAGCGAGCACCCCTTATATTCTTTGGATGATGACATGCTGACACTCTGCCTTCTACCACAGCCAGGAGCCAGGAGAAAGCAAGGGATTCAGGGAATCAGAATTCACTGTGTTGCGTGACCCTAGGAAAGTCACTGTTCCTCTTTGGTGTCAGTATATCCCTCTGGAAATGGATACAGGGTATTCATCCCAGAGAGGATGGGGAAAACAAGAAAAATGTCAAGATAGGAGCTATAAATCACGTGCAAACCATCTCAACATCACTAACCTTCCAACCTCAGCTCCAGAACAGGGTGGAAGGGCCGAGGCTCTTCCTTTCTGCCTTCAGTCCTGGCCTCTGGTTACTGTCAAAGTCACCTTTCTGGCCAGTGTTCCCCTCCCCCAGTCTTGCTCCTTCCTTTCCCAAGGGCTCCTCAGGGCCCCAGCTGAGCACCAGTTGCCAGGGACAGGCTGTCCTTTTAAAGGGACATGCTGGAGGCCACGGGGGCTCCCTGCCACTGGCCTTGGGGGTCTGTGCTTGGGGCCTCACTCCTCCTCTCTGGGCTCCAGTAGCCTCAACAGTGATAAGGGTGGTGGTGGTGAGGATTCTGGGAGATCTGAGGAAAGGTATTTATTCAGAAGGAGACCAGTTAATTCCCCTAAGGTTGAGGGTCTTGGTGTTCTGCTTTGGGGACAAGGGCCCTTACTTACTTTTGTTTCTGGAAAGGTGGATCTAGATCATAGGAGACAAAGACTCACGCTGCCCAGTAGGCTGTGTCCCATGGCTTCTGGATTCCAGTGCCAGGGACGGGTGCAGGAATCTACATTTAACTAGTTCCTAGGAATCCTTAAGCAATGGAGGTGGCATCCGCTGCCAGGTATTAGAGACCAAGCCTGGGCAACTCCAGCCCCACCAGGTACTGGGCAAGGTGCACCCTGCAGGAGGGGCCAAGACACAGAAACCAGGTCTAGACAGACCCAGAAATGCAGAGAAAAGATTCTGATCTCCCCATACAGAGTGCTCTGAACTCTGTGCTCTGGAAAGTTTGCTGTGAACAAGGTGGGAGGTGTAGCTCAGAGAAAGAGCACGCAGAAAGCCCTGGTTTCAGTCCTAGCACCACAAAAACAAAGTTTACTATCTGCACCCAAGAGAAAACACAAAAGCTCCATAAAAGAAGTACTTATTTATTTCCTAGATGTTTCCAGGATCCAGACCAGTGTCTGACACATCATATCTATTGAGTGAAGAACTACACTCTGCCACAGGGCCTGGAAATAATTCTTTTCTTTTGTCTTGGACTCCAATATGACGCCTTAGCCCATTATTACTGATCCTAGCTTTTAAAAACTTCTTCATATCTTGTACATCACTGATTTTGCATTAAGTTTGAATTCTCCAAAACATTACAGTAGCTGAGTGTGGTGTTACTTGCCTGTAACCCAGTTACTTAGTAGCGGCAGCAGGAGGATTGCAAGTTCAAGGCCAGACTGGGAAATTTAGTGAGACTCTGCCTCAAAATGTAAAAGAAAAAACAATAGCTGGGTGTGGTGGCACACACCTGTGATCCCAAAACTCTGGAGGCTGTGGCAGGAGGATTGTCACAAATTCAAGGCCAGCCTGAACTACACAGTGAGACTGTCTCAAAACAAAACAAAACAAGGGGCGGGATTTAGCTCAGTGGTTTCGCTGCCTGCTGCGCAAGCACAAGTACCCAAGTTCAATCCCCAGTACCAAAAAAAAAAAGAAAACAAAAAAAGTTAAAAAAGGAAATGGATGAGGAGGTAGTGCAGCAGTTTCCTAGCATGCACAAAGCCCTGGGTTCAATCCCTAGTATTCCCTTATACACCTTTCACAGGTGTATTGTATAAGACTCACTTTGTCAGACTTAGGAATGAACCCAATTTATGAATGTTCTCTCAGAATGAAACTCATTTGCAAATTGGGAACTTACTGTATAAGTAATAGCTGGGGGTTTAGTGCAGTGAAAAGGCCCTGGCTTTAATTTCTCAGTACTGGGGGCTAAAAAAGAAAGAATTTTCCTTGCAAGGTGGGGAGATTGAACAATAGAAACATAACAGTTGATTAATATCAGGTTACCTTCTGAGTAAGGTATAAAGCAGAGAGAGCTTCATGCCTATTGAAACTGGTCTATTTGGGAAATTTGGCTGTTATTTCTAATCCCATGAAGGGGTATTTGTTTTTTTTGTTTTTGTCTGTTTTTTTGTTTTGTTTGGTACCAGGGATTGAACTCCAGACCTTGCGCTTGTGAGGCAGGCAGCGGAACCACTGAGCTAAATCCCTGGCTCCTGTTTTTGAGACAAAATGTCTCAAATGTCTGTTTTGAGACATTATGTAGTTCAGGCTGGTGTTAAACACACTACGTAGCCCAAATTGGCTTCAAACTTCCTGCCTCAGCCTCCAAGAGTGCTGGGATCAAAGGTGTGCACCACCACACCCAGCCCTCTAATCCCGATTTTTGCAAGGTCAGATAAAGACCTTAGTTTCAGTTTGGTGACATAAGACTTTAGCATGAGTGACTCTATTTTTATTTTAGCCTGCCCTATTGGGGCCTAGTGAGGGAACTTAGCCCAAAACAATGACCTCTCTAATTTTTATTTCATGTTAACAAAATGGATCATGGGTGCCAGGACAAGGATGGCAGAAGCAGCAAAAACAGCCACCTACACATCCTGCGGCTGAAGGGCAAACTCTGAGAGCCCAGAAAGGAGCAGAGGTGGACCTTCAGCTCTAGCCAGCATAGGAGGAAAAATGAAGAGTCCTGGAGAAGACTGTTGGGAGCATTTCTACATAAATTTTGGGAGGAAATCATTTCACAATTACACTAAGTATCATTTCCCCATGCAAAACAACTCTACAAACCAGGTCAGGTTCTTTACATTTTATAGATGGAGGCGCAAAACCTCGGCGAGATGAGGGGCCCTGTCTGAGGTCACGGATTGGGTCCTGTGGCAATACCTGAGCTGACTTCTGGATCAACGCCATGGATTGATAGCGGCCCAAAGGGTCTAGACAGGGTGTTGTTGCTGTTGCTCTGCGGTTCTGGGGATTGAACCTAGGGCCAAGACTGAGCTCCACCTCCATCCCGGTGAGCAATTTCTTGAAAAGGGCAGCTGGGCCTCATGGGTCGACAGAACTGCATCAAGTAGAGTAAGACCAGCAAAGTCCAAAGCCTGAGCAAAGGCCATCATATTGTTTTTGTTTTGGTACCGGGAATCGAACTCAGGACCTTCCCTTCCAAGGCAAGCAGCGGCACCACTGAGCGAAATCCCTGGCCTTCAGGTTTGGTTTTTTGTTGTTGTTGAGACAGGGTCTTGCTATGTAGCCCAGGCTGGCCTTGAACTGTTAGTGCTCCTCCTGCCTCACCCCCTCGAGTGTGCTGGGATTACAGGCGTGCACCACCAGGCCCGGGTAAAGACCCTCAGATTTCTTTGTTTTTCTTTTCTTTTTTTTTAAAATTGTTCCACCAGATTTCCTGAAGTTCCTGGTCTGTAGGGCAAAGGGGTTGACCTACACATCTTTGGAGCCAGTAGCGCCTGGGTTCTGAGCCCTGCCCTGGCCCTGCTCTTCCGCGGAGCATTGCAATCGCTAATCTTCCCGCCAAGGATCAATTCTGACCCGCCCGGTTCTTCTTCGCTCCACCCTTCACTTCCCCCGGGGTTCAGGCTCAAGCCCCGCCTCCATTTGATTTAGAGCTCTCGGGCCCAATCCAGAGGGCACTGCTCCTCCCTTGCCACGCCCCTTCCAGGTTCAACCAATCATCGTTAGCTCTTCTCAGTCCCCGCCCCAGTCGCACGTCCCTCTCCAGCCAAGATGCTCTGGCCACACCCCTCGCCGTAAGGCACTGCCCAGCCGGGCTGCGGGCCCCGCCCCTCCTGCCTCTGTCCGGCGCAACCCGGGCAGCCACTGCGTGACTCCGCCCGGCACGCTGAGTTGCAGCCATGGCTGTCACCGCCGAGGGCGCCCGCCGGAGGGAGCGCGTCCTCTGCCTGTTTGACGTCGACGGGACTCTCACGCCGGCTCGCCAGGTAGGGCCCCGACGATCTTTGGAAAGAAGCTCCGGCCACGAGTGTCACTGGGATGTCCGAGAGCGTGTGGGACCAGCAGCTGCGTGACCGCGGACACCCGGGGTCCTGCTGCTGTGGGATGCAGCGGTACCGGTTCTTGGCATCCACGGGCCGACCACCCGGAGTGGTGGGGACCCTCGGCCCCTCATCCACAGCTTCCGAGCAGGCGTTGGCGAGCGGTGGGTCGGGTCCTGGGCCCCCTCATCCCCAGGCCCCCGCCTCCCCTGCCTGGACGCCCACCCCACTTCAGCCCTAGGATGCAACAGTAACCTGAAGCTGGCGCCTGAACCCGGGGTCCAGGCCGGGCTGGCGCGTGCCCCAGCGTCAGAGTTATCCTCTGGTGGGGGGAAGAGGGACCTGGAGCCTTCTGGAAGGGATTGGCCTCCCTGCCTTCAGGTTAGATCCGGGAGGAAGATGCAGATCTGGAGTGAAGGTGGTGGCCCTGCAAACCTCCTCGGGCTCCCCCCACCCCCCTCACCCCCCCTCACCCCCGCCCTTTGCTGTGTTGACACAACAGCAGCCTAAACTAGAACTGCCTGTTAATTTATCCACCAACAGGTCCTGCACTTAGTGCTTTTCAAAAGTTAATTTTTAATTTTATACAGGTTCACTGAGTACATTATTTTTGTAAAGAATGAAAACAAAACAAAGTCTGAAGTTTCCTCTGACCACACCAGGATCCCAGGCCTGGACCCCTCCCCAAAGTAATGTGGTTACCTGTCCAGCATGCCCTCCTTCCAGACCTCTGTCTGGGTCCCTTTGCTCAGAGGAAATGCTAGGTATTGTTTTGTGAGTCTATTTTTTGTTTGTTTTTTGAGACAGGGTCTCTACGAAGTTCAGGTTGGCCATGAACTCACTATGTAGCCCAGGCTAGCCATAAACTTGTGGTGATCCTCCTGCCTCAGCCTCCCAAGAGCTGAGATTGCAGGTGTGGACCAGCAGATCTGGCTTTGTGAGGGCTTTTTTAATTTTTTGAGGTTTTCAGTTAAATGGCATTATATGTATGTGCCTTCCTGCAACTTGCTTTTGACAATTATTTTTTTCTTTTTTTCCAGTACCAGGGATGGAATTCAGGACCTTGCGCCTACAAGGCAGGCATGGTGCTACTGAGCTAAATCCCCAGCTTTTAAAGTAATCTGGTTTTTAATTTTTTAATTTTTATTTTTTTCTGGTACCAGGGATCAAACTCAGGACCTTGTGCTTGCAAGGCAGGTGCGGTGACAGTGAGCTAAATCCCCAGCCTGTTTTTGACAATTAACTACATGTCTTGGGCCCCTGCTGTGTTGGAAGCACAGAGCTGCCTTACCTGCAGCATAGTATTTCCTGGTGGGTATGAATCATTCTCTGATTCACAAGCATGGAGTTTTTCACTATGCTAAACATACCCTAATGACCCTCCATGAATAGCTGGGCAAGAAAAGTTGAAAATCTGGGTGACAGGGTATGTGCATTTTAAGTTTTAGTGGATCTTGCCAAATTACCTTCCAAAAGAGCTGTACCGATTTACAATCTCACCAACAGCCTGTGCCTGCTTCCCAACATTATCATCCATTCTAAATAGTGTCAACTTTGTACATGTGAATATATGAAAAATTTGTATTATACCTTATTGGTTTACATTTCCTTGGTGGGAATCTTTTCTCTTGATTAATCTTCAGTTATTTGCTGTACACTTTTGATCATTATTTTTTCCTTTTTTTTGAGACAGGGTCGCCCTGTGTAGTTCAGGCTGGCCTTGAACTCACTATGTAGCCCAAGCTAGCCTCAAACTTGCAGCAATCCTCCTGCCTCAGCCTCCTGAGTGCTGGGATTATAGGTATACACCACCAGGCCCACTAGATTATTATTTAATCCCAGCTGTGACCATTGGATGATTATTACTATGTTCCCCATTTTTCCAATTTATTTATTTGTTTTTGTGGTACTGCGGATTGAACCCAGGGTTCCCCAGCCCTTTTATGAATTTATTTATTTTTTATTTATTTATTTATTTTTTTGGTACCAGGGATCGAACTCTGGTCCTTGTGCTTGCACAGCAGGCAGCGAAACCACTGAGCTAAATCCCTGGCCCATGAATTTATTTTTTAAAATTTTGAAATAGGATCTCACTAAGCTGCTGAGTTCCCCAGATTGGGCTCAAACTTGTGATCCTCCTGCCTCAGCCTCCCAGAATGCTGGGATTACAGATGTGCACCATTGCACTCAGCTCACATATATTTCATGTATACCTTATACACATAGCCTGAAGGCAATATTATACTTTTTTTTTAGCCTCAAGTGTGGTAGCCAAGAGCTCTACCCTTAACTTTCACCCTCAGCCCAGTTTTATAAGGTGTTTTCAGTTCACCTGTGTTTTGACGATGACCCATCACATGAGGTCAGGTGTGGAAGTTTCCATTTGTGACATTGTCAGCGCTGAAAAATTTCAGATTTGAAGCATTTCTGATTGGGGACTAGGGATGCTGAGCCTCTCCTCCTCACATCCAGATAGAATGTGGGCTCCCTGGGTTCTGAGCACTAAGTGGGGGTCCCAGACTCACTGACAGCCAGAATCCTTCTCTCCTCTGCCCCCACAGAAGGTTGACCCTGAGGTGTCCGCCTTCCTGCAGAAGCTTCGAAGCAAGGTGCAGATCGGCGTGGTGGGTGGCTCAGACTATTCCAAGATCGCTGAGCAGCTGGGGAATGGGGATGAAGGTAGGAGGGGGGGAGTCAGTTCCAGCTGGGGTGGGGGTGGACTTTAAAGATCTCATCCTACTTCTCTGGGACAGAAGAGGTACAGAAGAAGCTGGGCATGGTGTCACACACCTATAATCCCAGCACTCAGGAGGCTGAAGCAGGAGGATTACTATGAGTTTCAGGCCAGTCTGGGCTACATGGTGAGCTCAAGTCCAGCCTGAATTATATAGTGAGACCCTGTCTCAAAAAAACAAGGACACACAAAAAAAGAGAGAGCTGGGGATTTAGCTCAGTGGCACCGAGCCTGCCTCGCAAGCACAAGGTCCTGAGTTCATTCTCCAATACCCAAAAGAAAGAGAGAGAGAGAGAGAGAGAGAACATTAGTGAGCATCTCTTCCTGCAGGGCAAGTGCTATGCCAGCAATGGGGAGCCAACTGGGAACAAAGAGGGCAGAATTCTGCCCTTAGACCATTTACATTCTCCATCTTCCCTGCTAAGTCTTGATTTCCTCATCTTTAATATGGACATAATCAGGCCCAGGGATTTAACTCAGTGGTTCAACCACCTGCCTCACAAGCGCAAGGACCTGAGTTCGATCCCCGGTGCCAAAAAAATATGGACGTAATCAGTAGTGGTTAGGATTTGCACAAAATGACCAGGGGTGGCTGGGTTTCCTGTAATCCTGCAGTCATGCTGTAGGGTAGACGTGGTTATCCCATTTATAACAGTGAAGACTGAAGTCACCCAGGAGGTCTTTCAGACTCCAGAGCCCCTAGGTCTGGCTCCTTGGCAGCAGAGGCCTCTAGTTCCTCAAACCACACACTTCCTTGGGTTTTCACTCTTCCTGCCCGCTCATTCATTCCATTAGCATGTCACAGATATCTCCCTATCCTGCCCATTTCCGCCACCTCACCATAGTGTGGGTGATGCTCTGCCACAGATTCCCAGTTCCACTGCTTCTGGAAGCCAAAGCTGAAAGCTCCCCCTGCAGCCAACCTGGCAACTGCGTCCCTGTCCTTCGGGGCTGTGGGACCTCAGAAATGACGCCCTCTGCTGGAGAGTCCTGGACCAGAGGCCTCCAGAGGAGTGGGGAGATCTTGGAGGATGGATAGAGAGGGAAATCCGGAGGGAGGTCCAGGCAGAAAGGCCTGCCTGGGTGAAGGTGGAGAGCAGTGACTGGCTTGTAGGGAAAGAAACAAAGCTACAGGAGGAGCAGAGGCTGGAGAAGCAGGTTAAGGATGAAACAGATGGGCCCTGAATGCCAAGCCAAGGAGCATGAGCTCTGTGCCCCCTGCTTGCCTCGGGTGACAGAAGGACCTAGTCTCAGGGTCTCTCTTTCTCCCCTGGCCTCTCTATGGCCCCAAAGTCATTGAGAAGTTTGATTACGTGTTTGCGGAGAACGGAACGGTGCAGTATAAGCACGGACAACTGCTCTCCAAGCAGGTCAGTGTCCCCCAGGACTTAGCCGGGGCTCCCTGCCTTTCCACCCTGCACACTGCATGGGTGGCTCTGTCCTGGGCAGGGCCAGTGACATCGCCCCTCACTGAGAGCCCGTGTTCCTTGCCCAGACCATCCAGAGCCACCTGGGGGAGGACCTGCTCCAGGACCTGATCAATTTCTGCCTCAGCTATATGGCCCTGCTCAGGCTGCCCAAGAAGCGGTGAGCTCCCGGACCAAAGGGCACAAAAGTGTGGGTCACTCAGCTGGAGCCTGCAGATGCTTGGGCCCCTGAGTTCTTTTGGGGGGCAGTGCTGGGGATTGAACCTCAAGCCTTGCGCACACTAAGTGACCAGGCCTGCAGTACAGCCCCAGCCCTGAGGCCCTGACTCCTGGTGGCTGGATTCTTGTCCCCTGTGAAGCCCTGGAGGCTGTGGTCCCAGATGGGGCTGGATTTGAATTCAGGGCCTCTCTCATTCTCCCTGGCTTCCCCACTCTGTCACCTCCAGTGGCACCTTCATTGAGTTCCGGAACGGCATGCTGAACATCTCACCCATCGGCCGCAGCTGCACCCTGGAGGAGCGGATCGAGTTCTCCGAACTGGATAAGGTGCCACCAACTGTGTGACCCTAGGCCTGTAGGACTTCAGTCTCTCGACCTCTCTGCACCCCTGTTTTCTCATCAATGAAGTGGACCAGGGGGAGTTCTGGATGGACCAGTACTCTTGGGACCTGTCATGTGTCACTGACATAGGCACATCTGCCCCTTTCCAGTGCTGCTGGTTTCCCTTTCTAGTGACCCGCACCACCAGCCACCTACTTACCCAAGCCAACACCTAGGGCACATCTTCGCCACCTTCCCACCCACATCCAGTCCAGAAACTCCTGTTTCTCCAGCCTCTAGAGGCAGTCTCTAATCTGCACCATCGCAGAGCTAAGAACCTGCTCTTCAGGTTACCAGAAGTCCCCTTCCTCTGTCCCCCTCACCAGCCACCCTGACCCCAGCAGCCATGCTGCCAGCTCAGACTGGTCTGTGGGCTCTGCCACCCCTCCAGGCCCTACCTGCCTGCTCCCTCCACAGCCCAGAAGGGTCTTCAGGCTCACAAGAATGTCCCCCTGCCCAGCCCAGCACACACAAAATGTTCAGCAAACGCAGTTGTGGCTGTGGCCAGGCCCAGCATCCTGCAACCTGTGAGCACCCACTGATGCTTACGAAAAGGCAGCTTGTGCAGCTGCTCACACACATTGCCAGTGCCAGAGCTGCGGTGTACTGTGCTGACTTAGACAGGTGGACACTGGGACCTGGGGCTTGGGCTGCTCCGCCCACTTCAGAAGGCCCAGTCCATGCCCCCACTGTCAGGGATCTGGCTCTGCCACTGAGGCTGGATAACCCTGAACAAGGCACTGCCCCTCTCTGAGCCTCACACCCCCAAAAGGCCCCATGTGCCCAGCACGGAGCCTGGCACACACCACCCTCTGAGCCTTGCTCTTCGGCTCCCCCCTACAGAAGGAGAGGATCCGGGAGAAGTTTGTGGAAGCCCTGAAGACAGAGTTTGCAGGCAAAGGGCTGCGGTTCTCCCGAGGTAGGTCCACCCCGCAGAGCATGGAGCCCCTTGGTGCCTCACTGGATTCCCCACCTGCCCCTCGCTGAGCTCTCTCGACCTGCTGGTGAGTCCCCACATCTAGAACTCAGCTCCATGCCCCTGACTGGAGCTTCGTGCCCACCTCTGCCAGCCTGGGAGACTTGTTGGGCCACTCACCCTGCCTTACTTTGGGGACTCCCAGTTCCCCAGACAACCCACTCTGCCTAGGGCACCAGCCCGGTTTCTCCTTGGGTCTGCCCTGGCCACCATGGCTCGATGATACCCCACACACACACACACACACTGCTCTCCAATGGTCTCGTTTGCACCTCGCTTATTCTGTCCCCTGAATCAGATGTCCCTGAAGATGCTGAGTCCATCCTGTCCCCTATGCCTGGTACTAGGCAGACACTTGCGGTTATTGAGCGAATGAATGAGCAGAGGCCTTGCCCAGGCTCCTGTGGCTCCCCCCTGCCAACCTGGTCTGCCCTCCCTCCCGCAGGTGGCATGATCAGCTTTGACGTCTTCCCTGAGGGCTGGGACAAGCGCTGCTGCCTGGACAGCCTGGACCAGGACAGCTTTGACACTATTCACTTCTTCGGAAATGAGACCAGCCCTGTGAGTGTGGCCGAGCCCGGGCTCCCCTCAACCTACACACCTGTGGTCAAGGTCAGACCCATGGCAACAGAACCTGGGCCAGAGGGCTCCTGGTTATCAGGCTCATAATCCAGTTTGAAAGCTAGGACTCAGAGAGGGCTGGAAACCTGTTTCATGTCACACAGCAAGCCTGACAAGGACCATGAAGGGCTTCCTGGGGGCAAGAGGAAGGAAACAAATAGGAAGGGCAGGTCTGTAGGGGGGTGGTGTGGGGACCCCAACCCCAGCAGCCTCCTCCAGGCGTCCCCTCCATGAGGCCTTCTCTGCCCTTCCCCTGTGCAGGGCGGAAACGACTTTGAGATCTACGCTGACCCCCGGACTGTGGGCCACAGCGTGGTCTCCCCTCAGGACACGGTTCGGCGGTGCCGAGAGATCTTCTTCCCCGAGACAGCCCACGAGGCGTGAGCAGTCCCCACACCTAACACTGACTTCCAGAGAGCTCTGCCCGGGCCCATAGCGGGACACCGGCACCTGCTGGGGCAGGGGACACCTGCTTCAAGCCCCATCCACAGGGTGAGACTGGCTCCCAGCCTCCTGTGCCCAGAGCATCCCCGTACTCAGCCTGACGGCTGTGGCCACAGCCACTGCTCAGAGTTGGGAACAGAATGTGTCGTGGCCACACTAGGAGGAGACAGTGGGAGTGCACGATGTGGAGCCACCCCGCCCGCCCGCCCTGAAGAGGCAGCGCAGAGCAGTGGGCACGGGCAGATCTTAGCACTTTGTGTCATGACCATTAAAGGTCCCAGGACAAGGCATGGTGTCAGATGTGTCTGAGGGGTAATGGCCCTTGCTTTATGTCACGTGCTGTTAGGGTCACAACTTGGCAGGGGAGGATACAGGGACAAGGACTTGGCCCAGGTCACCCAGAAGTCTTTGATCCAGGGCCAGCTAGGCAGGTCCTTCCCGACCCCTCCCAGAACGTGGACAGAAAGCAGCTCCCAGGCAGCGTAGGTCACAGTTGAGTTTATTGCCAGTGTTAGGGAGGATGGGGAGTCCGTGGCTGGGGTCTCAGGACGGCTTCTGATGGTGCTGTGGGCCTGAGAACAGGGAGGAGGGCTGCTGCCCCCGCTGCCCAGGCAGCCCTGGCCTGATGCCTACACAGGGAGCCTGGTCATGGGAGGGAGGCCGGGGTGGGGACAGGGCCTCTGCCAAGGAGCCCAGGGTGTCCTTGTCCAGCTCACCGAGGTGTCAGGTGGGCTGGCCCTTCCTGGGTACAGAGGGTGCTGGCACCGCCCAGCCTCTGATGGCACTGGGCAAGAGTGGAATGCAGATGTCCCAGCTGATCTGTACCCTGGGGTCTTGGGCCAGCTTCAAGTCCTCCTAGATAGTCACTGACCCCTCATCCTGGTCATGTGAGCCCCCACTTTTACTTGCAGACTGGGTCTCATAAGGGTCACTGTCCTGACAGGCTGTGCCTTGAGCATGTGACCCCACTTCCCCCACATTGGGTCTCAGAAGGGAGGGGGAGGGGCCAGGTCACCCCAGTGCACAAAGGGACATCTCAGCGCCAGAGGAGCTCCAGGTAAGAGGGACAGCCACGCACCAGGGACAGTAGGATGGACAAGGTGAGGACCCCCAGGGCCGCTGGCCTGTCAGGACCCGTGGGAGCTGCTGTCCCACAGCTGAGGAAGAGGCTCGCATCGGGGTGCAGGCCGGTGGATCCTTCCGGTGCCCAGGCCTGGTCTCATCTGAGGCAATGTTGTGTCGTCGTCCATCACCACATCTTCATAGCTGTTGTGGCCAGGCACAGGGTGGAGAATCCACAGGGCTTGGCAGTTGGGGGAGAGGAAATGGCTGCACCTAGGCTAGGGAGAGGCATCCCCTCTTTGCCTTCGGGGGCAGGGGGTGAGCATGGGGTTCACAGAGCCGCTGCCAGGCCAAACAGGAACACCAGGCCCCTCTTTCCCGCCTCACCAGTGCCCTGAGAGCCAGCCAGAGCAGGAAGGCGGGCTGGCTGTGGCAGTGGGGGGCCGTGTCCCCCATGGTCAGCCCTCTTCCACTGCATGAGGCTGGAGGGTCCCCCAAAGTCCCCACCAGCCTGGCTTCCTAGAGGGTCAGGCCATGGCAGGGGCCAGAGGCCCCAGTTCAGGGTGGGACACAGGCAGAGAGGAGCAAGCTCATCCGAGAGGGGTCCCCCCAAGTCCCCATGAGCCAGACAGAGGCTGGCAGAGACTCAGCCGATGAGGGCTGTGGGCAGGAGGGCAAGAGGGTCTTGTGCATACGGCAAGAAGGGACAAGAGGGACAGGCCAGGCCAGGGCTGGTGGCCTCCCCTCCAGCCAGCTCCAGCTGGGTCACAGAACAGTCACAGGGCACGGGTGTGGAGGCGCACACGCACAGACAGACAGACAGACATGCACACCGAGGCCTCCCCACACGGCTCCCAGCCTAGGAGCCCACAACCTGCCCAGACCACGTCTCGTGAGGGGTGTGCGGAGCCAGCTGGGTGAGCACCACCTCCACAGCCTGGAACTTCTGGTTCTTAGGCGGGATGGGGCACATCTTGTAGGTCACCTCGTCACCTTCCACGGGCACGTACTCTCCCTCAATGCTGGAATGTAGGAGAGGGCATTCAGTCTGATGCCACTACAGCCCTGACAGAGGCCAGCCCAGCCCTAGCCTAGCTAGGCCAAGAGACCCAGGCCATCTGTCTTCTCAGATTGCCTCTGCTGTCTAATCTCAGCATTCTGGAAACCTGAGGCAGGAGGACCCCAAGCTCAAGTCCTGCCCGGGGAAACTTACTGAAATCTTGTCTCAAAATAAAAAGGGCTACGGATGTAACTCAGTGAAAAGGCTCTAGGTTCAATCCACGGTACCAAAAAAATAAACAAAATTAGAGCCAGACACATCCCTGTAGCCCCAGCACTCAGGCTGAGGCAGGAGGATTGCTGTGGGTTTGAGGCTGGCTTGAGCTACATAGTGAGTTCAAGGCCAGCCTGAACTACATATCAAGACCCGTAACACACACACAAATCTAGGAACCAAACAAGAAAAACAAACAGATAAAAATGGGAATGAGACACAGTATCTACCCCTCCTTTGGGATTGGAGATGTGAAAGGTCACAGGAAGGTGCCCAGGCTCTGGGGAGTTCAGGGACCTCCCCTGTGATCCCATTTTAGAGATGGGTGGGGTCAAGGCCCCCCCAGGCCCCTCCTAGGCTGTGGTAACAGCACAGGGTCCGGCCCCACCCCCTCCTACACCCTCAGCCCTCCTGAGAGGGGAGGCAGAGGCAGGGACAGCGGCTGCAAACAGACTGGGAGGCTTCTTTGAGGCACTGCTAGGGATACTGAGGCAGGGCCCAGCCAGGACAGGGGAGGAGGGGGACTCACTCAGACACGTGCACAAAGATGTCCTCCGACCCATTCTCGGGGGTGATGAAGCCGTGGCCCTGGGAGCGGGAGAACTGCTTGCAGACGCCCTTGAACACAGGGCCGGCCGAGGCGCGGGCTGTCCTGGGGTGGGGGATGGAAGCTGTGGCCTGGGAGCCCCCAAACCCCACCCTCCGGAACCGCCCAGGCCAGTGTTGCACACTACGGTCACCTAGCACTTGCATTACCCTGACTGCAGATGGAGACCCAGGCCCAGAGGGGACCAACCCTTCCAGGGACACAGCGCGGGGTCTCCTGACTCCTCCCTGGCGTCCCCCTCCACACAGCACCCTCCCTCCCTCCACTCCTGAGCTTATTTGGATTTAAACACTCTTGTAAGATTTCTTTCTTGTTTTGTTTTGCAGTTTGTTTTGGTATGGGGATTAACTCGGGTCCTTGCACTTGCAGCAGGCAGGCAGAGAAACCAATGAGCTAAATCCCCGGCCCTGTAGTTTGTTTTTTTGGTTTTTGGTTTTTGGTTTTTTTTTGGTACCGGGGATCGAACTTGGGACCTTGCACTTGGGAGGCAGGCCGTGGTGCCACTGAGCTAAATCCCCGGCCAGTTTGTTTTTTTTTTAAGACAGCCTCTTGCTATGTAAGTTCAGCCTGGACTTGAACTCGTTATGTAGCCCAGGCTGGCCTTGAATTTGCATGGATCTTCCTGCCTCAGCCTCCCAAGTGCTGGGATTACAGATGTGCACCACCATGCCCGGCTTTAGCACAGTAGGTTTTTGTGGAATGAACGAATACAATGAATGAATATGGCAGTTACTGAGGGGTCCAGACCCAGCTCCCTGTCCTCAGGAGGACAATGGGGACAAAGGAGGATGGGGAAACTCAGAGCCTGGTGAGCGACAGGTACTCAGACAGGTACTCACGCTGAGTACGTCCTGGTGCGCTTGGTGGGCAAAGGGCTGGGCAGGTCCCGAGATGTCCCGCCCCGCTCCCACACCCTGCTGCCCTCCCTGTGGAAGGGGAAGGTGGGCCAGACAGGCGACTTGGGTGAGTGGAGCGGGGGCACCACTGGGGGGGACGTGGGCTCCGATGTCATGGTGGGGCCAGTGGGAGAGCCTGGCGGGCTCTGGGGCCCCAGGGCCGGTGGAGGGCTTGGGTGTCCTTGCAGGCAGGGCCCGGCCTGGCCCTGCTCGACAGCCTCACCAGCCACAGGCTCCGTCTGCAGGGGAGAGAGAAAGAGAGAACAGGTAAGTCCAGCCTGGGGACAGCACCGGACATGGGACACGGGACACAGTCCGGAGGGCTGTTCCCGGCAGCCACCACTGCAGCGCAACTTCGAACCACACACAGCCTGTCCCCGGCTCAGTATGCAAAGCAGAAAGACAAAATGATCAAAGCTTTCAGTCTGACTCTGCAACTCTGGGGCATGGGAAGTGGGGTACTGGGTGGCTGTGACTTGGTGTGTGTCGGATTTGCAGCCATGGGTTCAAATCTTGGCTTTGTTACTTATAACTTGGTGACCTCAGCCAAGCCACTCAGTGGGCCCCACATGGTGGGGAGGAATGCAGGCTGCAGCCCCAAAGGCCTGGGTGTGAATCCTGGCTCCCATGCCCACCAGCTGTGTGGCCTTGGTCCACATACCCCGGCCACGTCCTGTACATGATGGCTTATGGGGCATGGTGTGGCTCTTATTCCATAGCAAGGCCACACTGAGCATGACATCCCTTTCTGCTTGCTCGGAACAGACCGCAGGGTGAGTTCCTGAGGACTCTACTTTCCCTCAGCCTCATTTCTGTCTCTCAAAATGAGGTCGAAAGGCTCAGAATGTAACTGAGACACAGTGCTTGCCTAGTGTGTGCAGGAACCTCAGTTCCAAATATGAGGGTGGCAACAGCTTGTGAGGGTGCTGGGGATTCTGTGACAGGGTGTTCGGCGCTGACTGGCATCTGTAGATAGGAGACACAGCGGTGCCTCCAAACTTGGCCTTAATTGGTTCCAGGAGGTGCAACCACTACCAAAACTGACGAGGACCAAACAACTTGTTTTGGCTGGAGAAGGTAGTGAGTCACTAGGCAATCGACATGGACAAATTCTTTAGTTGTTGTTAGAGACAGGGTCTCACCATGTAGTTCAGGGTGAGCTCACACAGTGATCCTCCTGCCTCAGCCCCCTGAGTGCTGGGATCACAGGTGTGTGCCACCACTAATAAATTCTAGCTTGTATGTCAGTACCAAACAAACAGTGACTACTAGGATAAAATTTTCCGGTCTAAATGCATCAAGCAGTAAATTTCAAGTGTCACCAGTCAGACTGCAATGGTAAAACTTCGAGTTGCTATGTCAATGCTGATTAACAGACGTCCCCAAGCCCACGGTCTGGCATCTAGGTGACCTTGAGAAAACTACCCTGTATCTTCCCCCACCTAGGAAAAGATCATGACTCGCTGTGCAAGCAGCCCCTGAACTCCTCCTCAGGCGTTGGGAAGTCTTGTGGCCCAAGAGATCTGCCGTGGAGCCCTCACAGGGGCCTGTTAGGCTGGGAGGGAGCAGGAGAGCGCCTGCCTGACCTTTCCCCTGGCCTCAGTTTTCTCATCTGTGCAATGGCACCCACCAGAAACCCTGTGCGCCCCTCGCTCAGGGCCCGACTGCAACGAGACCATCCCAGAGGAGCGGTGCTGGTTTCTCTGCCTCTGCCCTTCCTTCCTCCCTCCCTCTCTCCTGCTGTCCTGGGTGGCAGAGGTGAGTCCCAAACCATGTGTCTATTTCTGGTCTCCATTTACCTAAAACCAAACACACACAAATCCAGGGTTTCCAGGGAAGGGTTTAAGGCTCTGTAGGAGTCCAGAGCACAGGCAGCTGGAAAAGCTCCACAGCAGGGCAGCAGAGCCAAGAGTCACCTGTCCCATCTCCATCGCCACCGCAGGGCCCCTGGACTCTGTTCATACAGATCCTCCTGCCTCAGCCTCCCAACTGCTGGGATCCCAGGCATGCACCACCATGCCCAGGTTCCTCCTTCATTAATTTTATGTTAGGCATTGAGCCCAGGGCCTGACACACACAAGCACTCTGCCACTGAGCTACATCCCTAGCCATGCTAAGAAAACAGAAGCTTCAAAAAAAAAAAAAAAGCAAACAGCCAGGCATGGTGGCACATGCCTGTAATCCCAGCACTCAGGAGGCTGAAGCAGGAGAATTGCCACAAGTTTGAGGTCAGCCTGGGCTACACAGCAAGACTCTGTCTCAAAACAAACAAAACACACACACACACAAACCAAAACAAAAAAGAAGCAGCCACAGAAAAACTCAGACATGAATGTTCACAGCAGCATATTTACCACGGCCACCACCAGGTGACTGGGTACACAGTGGCAGGGCCACACAGGACGCTGTCTCTTGGCCATCAGGGGTGAGTGAAGTGCAGATTCCTGCTGCCAGAGATGAAGCTCGGGAACCTCACACTAAGTGAGAAAGGCTGGTTACAAAGACCCACGTGAAATGGCTCCATTTTCATGAGAAACAAGGCAAAGCCTCAGGGGCTGGAAGTAGCTTCCTGGTCACCAGGGCCTGCAGGAGGGGCCAGAAGTGGCTGCTGAGGGCTAGAGTTTCTTGCGGGCGGGGAGGGGATGGGAAGAAAATGCTTCATTCTGAAGGCAACCGTGATGATGCTGTCCAGCCCTCCAAACAGGCCGAACTCAGCTGAGCTGGATGGTGTTGTGATCCATGTCTCAAGGCAGCTGACCCCGAAAAAAGAGAATCCAGCCTGGTGGCGCAGGGGGCTGAGGCTGAGGCAAGAGGATCACAGCAAGCTCAAGACCAGCATGGGTTCAAGGCCAGCCTGGACTACACAGAGAGACTTTGTTGCAAAAAAAGAAAAAACAGGGAACTTGAGGGGAATGGGGTGAGGCCAGTGTAGGTGAGTCTTAGGGACGTGACTGGGCCCCCTCTTCCCCCAGTCCTGTGCTCCCGTCCCCTTTCACAGCAGAAAGGGGAGGAGGAGGGGAGGCTGAGGCAGGAGGAGCTGGGGCCTGCTGGTGGGAGCTGCCCACTGGCCTCCCTGCCCTGGGGCCTCTCCCAGCCTTCTCTGGGGAGGAGACCTGGTGAGCCTGTGGTCCCTGTCATTCCTTCCGCCTACTTTGGAGGCCACAGCCCACTGCCCGCTTAGCTGTGACAGGAGAGCGCTGTCACGGGGGGGGGGGGGGGAGCTCCAGCTCAGGGCCTGTGTCTCCCAGGTAACGACCGAAGCTCCCCCCACCACCACCACTGTCACTGCCTAGCTCAAGGCCAGGCTGGGAACACTGAGTAGGGGGCAGAACTGCTCTGCTTCCCAGAGAGAGAAGCCGCCTGCCACCCTCAGCCAGGGACCCTCCAGGGGTGCTGTGGGGCCTGGCACCAGGAGCATCCCTAGCTGGGCCATCCTGGGGAGCTTTGCTTCGCTGCTAAGTTGCCCAGGCTGTGCTGGAACTTTGCATCCTCCTGCCTCAGCCTCCCAGAATGCTAGAATGACAGGCCTGAGCCACTACACTTGGCTCTAGTTCCCATTTAATTCCCTAACAGCTTTTCATGTCATTGTTACTATTACACCAGTTTGCAGACCAGGAGACTGAGGCCCAGAGAGGGCTGCTGCATCGGAGTCAGGATTTCAGCCAGGACCAGCGACTCTGGGCTGTGGGACATTGGCCAGGGCTGTCTCTTTCTGGGCCCTGCACCACACTCAGCAGCCTGGAAGACCAGGGAGAAGGGGTCATGGGACACAGGCAGAGACCCTGGGTCAGACCCTCTCTGCAGAGCACAGCTGCTGGGAAGAACAAACAGAAATGAGGCTTCCCCGACTGGGGCTTGGGATGCCATGCACTATGGAAGCCTTTACAGAGGTGAATTTCCATGCTTTAACCTCCAGCTTAGCCTAAAAGGTGGAAGTTACACTTGTTCCTATTTTACAGATGGCGCCCAGAGAGGTAAAGTGACTGGCTCAAGGTCACAGAGCACATAAGAGATGGAGCTAGCTTTTTTTTTTTTGGAGACAGGGTCTCACTATGTACTTCAGGCTGGCCCTGAACTCATTATGTAGCCCAGGCTGGCCTCAGACTCGGAGCAATCCTCCTACCTCACCTTCCCAAGGGCTGGGATTATGGACCCCAGCTTTGTCTGATGGCCACCTAGTGCTCTTCCTGTGAAGGTCATTTCTGCTACTGGTGCAGCCAAGATGAAGCTAAGTTCTTAAAAAGAACTTTCACTGAGTAACTAAGTCAGGTTCCCCCAAGGGCAGAGAGGCAGTTATGTTTGTAGGCCACATGTTTCAACTCAGCTGAAGGTCAGCCCTGCAGGGATTTGGTGTCCATCCGAGGCTCCTCCTGCCCATACCAATGCCCCTCAGAGCCAGCAGTGGAGCTGGGCGTGGTGGTGCACACCTGTAATCCTAGCACTCAGGAGGCTGAGGCAGGAGGACCACTGCAAGTTTGAAGCCAGGCTGGGCTATTTGGCGAGACTGTCTCAAAAAAAATTAAACAAAACAAAACATTAGGGCTGTTTGGAGATAATCCAAGGTGTGATGCGATGTTCCTGGGTCCACAGCACTCAGGATGGTGACTCAGCCCTGGCAGCAGGTGACCATAGCTAGCTGGGGCTCTGCTCCAATTCTCAACCCCCTAAAAAGAATGGGGTACAAAAATGGCTATCACACCCCAATCCTGACCATAAAAATCCTCCTCCTGGGCCAGGGATTTAGCTCAGAGGTTCCACTGCCTGCCTCGTAAGCACAAGGACCCAAGTTCGATCCTCGGTACCAAAAAAAAAAAAAAAAATCCTCCTCCTGGGCAGATCAGGTCAGGGAAGGAAAAGCAGCTCAACCACCCAGTGCTGTGTGATCGGGGCAAGTGCTGCCCCTCTCTGGGCTCCCCATCATCTCAGCTGGATTAGTGGTCTCTGCTCCTGATGCCTCAGCCCAACTGTCCTCTGAGGTTGTCAGAAACTCATGGGGGTACAGCCCAAGGTGACATTTCCCAACCCGTGTCCTATGTGCCAATAAAAGAACATTTACACCCAGCGTGGTGCTGCACACCTGTAATCTCACACTTGGGAGGCTGAGGGCAGATGGATCTTCACAAGTTTGAAGCCAGCCTAGGGTACATGGTGAGTTCAAGACAAGCTTGAACTACAAAGCAAGACCCTGTCTCAAAAAAAAAACAAACCAATACAAACAAAAATTTCTAGACAATGATTACTATTAGCATACCCATTCTACAGAGAGTAAACTGAGGCTCAGAAGGGTGAAAAGGCTTGCTGAGGTCACAGAGCTGGTTAGAGGCAGCCTTTTTGCACACTGGAAATGTCTGGGTGTGGGGTAGGCAGGAGGCAAGGAGGGGACCATTCTCCCCAAGAGCAGCTCATGGAGAAGGAAGCACAGGGGTGGAAGAACCGGGGAGCCAGGACTTGGGGTTCTATTTCTGGAGTTGTGCTGACTCAGACAATGACCTTGGCTGAGTCACTTGTCAGCTCTACAGAGCTTGAAAACAACTCTCTCATAAAACGTCCCAGCCCCGAGCCCCCATTGTGGGCCGCAGATGGGAGGACGGAGGATGGAGGATGGGGAAGTAGCTTCAGATAGAAAAGCTGGTGGAGCCAGGGATTTAGCTCGGTGGTTCTGGCTCCTGCCTCGCAAGCACAAGGTCCCCAGTTCGATCCCCAGTACCAGAAAAAAAAAAAAAAGAAAAGCTGGTGGAAGGGGATGATGGAGGAGGGCTTGCTGGACTGGGAAGCGTCTAAAGCAGGCCCTGAGAGAGCGACAAGGAACAAACTTGGGAACACTGGACAGATTGGCCCTCACCTGGCTCTCCCTGCCCCCAGTTCCCTGAAGCTCTTTAAAATACATCAGGGCCAAAGCTGTGCTTTCAGCTGGAGGTGACCTAATTAAGCCTGCTTCCCTCCCTCCCGAGTGTTGTGACTGTGTGTGTGTGTGTGTGTGTGTGCGTGTGTGTGTGTGCGTGCATGTGCACACACACACAGGAGGTTTGGGGTGCCCCAGCCAATACTGGAGCCGGATTACTTCAGGGACCTCTTCCCCCTCCTCACCACATCCCTGGGGCTGCCTGGGGACAGCTGGGCTTCAGGCTTTTGGGCTTCTTTGGCATCGGTGGTCCAGAGGCCAGGATGGCACCAGGAGCACCACGTTCCCACCAGCTCTGCCTCTGCCGCACTGTGGAACCCCAGGCAGGTCACTTGCCCATTCCAAGTACCCCTGCAGGGAGGACCAGAGACAGAACTGCTGTATCTGTGCCCCACAGCCCCTGAGCTTTCTGGTGCGCTCTGGCGCCCCGGCTCTGTGACTGTCATTTCACTGGCTCAGGGACAAGGGCAGTGTCCCCTCCACTCTTAGCTGCCCCCCAGGGTTCCTGTGCAGCCTGGACAAGTCTGCTCTGTGTCAGGCGTGGCGTGCACACCTGTGATCTTGACACTCAGGAGCCTGAGGCAGGAGGAGTGCTTTGAGTTTGAGGTTAGCCTGAGCTACACATCAAGACCCTATCTCAAAAAATCAAAACCCAAAAACAAACAAAAAAGTCTGATCTGTCCCAAGTCCCATTCCCCTGGGGCTCCCAGTCCTGGCTGGGACTCCGTTGTGACCACCACCGTCAGGCTCAGAGCGCCCTCTGCTGGTGCCGGCTGGGGGTCCTGCCTCTGGATGGGCTGGCGAGGAGCCCTTGTGTGGGTCCTCCAGGCTCCCCAGGGAGACTTTCCCTGGCCAGTGACATCCATGAACCTTGTCCAGCCATCTCTCTCCAGGCCTGGGACAAACCTTTATGGCTGAAACTGTCCTATGCCCTGCCCCTGGGCCCTGATGGCACCTGTCTTTGGATTTTTTTCCTCCTGGATCTGGGGGCAGACAGATCAGGATGGGCAAATCCGGAAAACATGTTTTTGGAAAAGACTTCAAGGGAATGGGAGGGGTGAGGGTGGGAGAAGGAAATATTGACAATTGGAGGCCCAGAGGCCTCTGGGATGAGGCTACAAACCCTCCCAAGGAGAGGGCCCTGCTGGGTGACATCCAGGCGGCATGGTGCCAGGCACTGGAGAGGTTGCCCACCCCCCGCTGGGCACACTTCCTCCTCCCCTCCCCCAGCCCCTCGGATGCAGCAGTTCACACTTGCATTTATTATTGTTCTCCTCTAGCCCCCTCCCTCTGCCCGGGAAGGGCAGGCAGGCTGGCAGCTTGGCAGGAACCGGCTGTCTCCTTCTGGGTCCCAGCGTCGCCCCTTATCTCCACCCAGTCTCCTTGTGCCAGGGTCAGGCTACTCCAGGCTTGATGCCAGCCAAGGTGGCCCTGAGTCCCTGCATCCCACGGCTCGGTGGCCCTGCAGGTCCCAGCTTATCACCTCTGCCCTCCTTCTGGGGGCTGCACCCTGGCAAGGGCGGGTCAGAGCCAGCCCAGCGGGCACGGAGACCCAGGAACTCGGCGGGAGCCATGGCCCCAAGGCGTAGAGAACCTGAGCCACCTCCCTAAACCCACAAACACAACTGTCCCCATCACACTGGGGAAACAGAGTTAGGGCAAGACAGCTGCTCCAGTCCAATAGTCCACACGTCCCAGCCCACATTCCAGGGATGCTTCTGGGCACGCTTGCCTTTCCAGCCTGGAAGGAGCCCTCGGATTCCTCCAGCCACCGCTGTCCCTCCTGGTCCCCAGACAGGAGGCTGCGGCTTGGCAGGGATGGGCTGTTCCCTGCCACCCTGGCCAGACACGAGTACCAGACACAGACGCGCGCTCACGCTCAGCCTGGGGGGGGGGGGGCGTCGAGAGGAGACAGCCGGGCGGGGACAAGTGCCCCGGGGACCCCAGCACCCTCTCTCTGTCTCCCAGCCGCGCCCCCACCCCCACTTGCCTCGTCCTCCCGCCGGCCAGAGCCGCTGCCCCCAGCGCGGCACCCCGAGCCCGCGCCCCTCACCTCTCCCGCAGCACGGTCCGGGCGCTGCCGCCTGCGGCTCGGGCAGCCTGGGCCTCGCGGGGTAATGGGCGGGCGGCAGCGGGTGCGTCTGCGGGATGCGCTGGCGAGTTCGTGTGTGTGCGCGCGTGTGTGTGCTCGAGCAGGCGGCACCTCACCCCCTCACTCACTCACTCACTCACTCACACACGCCCTCCCGCTGACG